CAAGTTCAAAAATGGGTACTAAAACTTAAGAAACAGATTAAGAAAACAGAGGGTGTGTTTCCCCATCACTTACTGTCTGCTGTATTGTTACATGGTAGCATTGTAGCTAATTCTTTAGGAATCAATTTAAAACAGGAAATAGATAAAAGGAAAACTATACCAGAGTGATCTGAAGGCCCTGTGACATAGATATAAATCTGTATTGTTTTGTTGAGAGAGATGCATCAGTGAGAACACGATTTAGATTAATCTAAATGCTAGATTTTATCAAAGCATTGAGTCAGGATGCTACATTATGAGTTCAGAGTCTGTGACATTTGTCTACATCTTTCATGAAGCAGAAATAGGGAAAAAAATATCAAGGGCTGGAATAACTTGTTTCATCCAGGTTGAAGAGCAGTTTTGGTAAATTTTAATCGCATTTCAGAACTCATGTCTTTGTATTTCAGCAAAGAATAAATGGACTCTGTACAGCATAGGGTCTTTGAAGGCCAAGTTTACCTTTGTCCTTGAATCTGTTGAGCAAAGGCAGAAACCTTGGACACTTTGTTTTCTCTTAATTTTTATTCAAGCTGTTGTGGCCTCCACACAAAAGAAAGAGCTGCACAGGGCCAGACTCCCATTTCATTTACACTGAAGTAAATCCAGTATATTTTCCTTGTATTTAATGGAGTCGCTCTGGATTTCACTGGATTTGCTAACCAGGTCAGAATTCAGTCCATGGACTATAGGATTCATTTTATGCTCTGAACAGTTGTGCCTCTTAGAAAGATCTGCTCTAACATAAAAGCATTTTAGGTTACTTGCACTGATGTTGAGTTGGTAACAAAAGAGTGCTGTTGAAGTCTGCAAGGAAGACATGAACAGTGATGTTCAGTGTGTAGCAGAACGTGCATGGAAAATAGGAAGCTGTGTCTTAAGTCATCTATGTAAGTGCATTTCCATGGAGAAAGAAATAGGTAAATGAACATGGATTGGATTAGTACTTGTGTGCTTCAGAAAGTGATGAATGTTATGATAAGCAGAGAAAAATGTGAATTGTGAAAACTCGATCCTGAACACAGAGACTTTCATACCCAGAAGTATGAACTACAGCAAGTCACAAAGCCTCTCTCTGTCGAGAAAGAGGAACCATGCTTGGTATGACCTGGCTGGACAAGATCCTGTACCTTTTCATCCCAGTATGTAAGAAATTGTTTATTTCCCAGCTTTCAGCATCCAGGAAGATCTGGCTAAGGTTTCTGAGAAAAAATCATGCAGAATTCAAATTTATGCAGCAAATAGAACCTGAATCAATAAAAGTTTAAGGGATGGTACAAATCCATCAGTTCATTTGAGCTTTTGTTTTCTGGGGTGATAAATCTATGCCTAAAATAGTAGGTTAAGAGAAAGGATTTTTTTCCTTTGTAAAATGAATCTCCGTTTTTCTTAGAATTACAAAAATTAAGTTTATGTTAACAATCTTGTGGCTTCCAGCATATCTTGATAATGAAGACTGTTAATTCTTACTGTGATGAGTCAACTCATGCAGATTCATATCACGTACCTAGTATATGTAGAAAATGTAAATATTTTAAAATCAGATAAAAATGTTGGTGAGATCTTAAAACATTGGTCTGAGGAAAATGATTAATTTTGCTGGCTGTATTCCATTAGGACCAGCAGTGAAGTCTTATGTTTAATCACTGTAGTTATTTGTCATGTATTTCAATGAGTCAGAGATTCAGACTGTCTGCCCACTGAACACAGATGTTGCCCTCCAGCAGCAGCTTCCATCTGCAATCCATTCAGCAAAAGTTCATGGCACCTCTTTGTTCAAGTGAGCTGCAGGAAAAAGCAGCTGTGCTTACCTGGAAAAGGCGAGAAGAGCAGCAGGAGCAGAAGTGCTGCCAGCTGCCCTTCAAGGAGAGGTGCTGTCATGAGGGCTGCCATGGAAGGGTCAGAGTAGGAGTCCCTCACTGTACTCAGCACAGCTCCTGCTGTGGCAGAAAGGAAGGGCTGGAGCACTGTGGATGTCAGGGGAGGGTTCCTGCTCCCCCAGGCACCGGCAGCTCCCTACTGGCCCCTCTCATGGGTGGGCAGTGCTGCAGCAGCTGCTCTGCCAAGTGTTGCCTTGGGCTTCATGGGGCTCTGCTTTAAAACATCCCACAAAAACTTCAGCAGAGAGTCTTAAGAAAATCAGCCTCCAGAAGGGATGCATTTGCACCTCTATAGCAGGAGTATTGCATGGAAGTTAATAGCCAAAGGAGTTTTTGGGAGCTGATTCTGCCCAAAATTTTAGGTGGGCTCTCCTCTCCAATGGGTAACGGTAAGAGATATTTTGGAGAAAGCCAGGACACACCACTTCTAGCAAATAGGAGACCTATGGGCTGTATAGATCTGTCCCTGTCACCAGCCAGGCAAAGGTCACCAAAGGGAGCATGTGAATCAAGTTGGCTTTATGTCCACCCTTTATTCTTTTCCACATTTATTCATCTGAATAAATGAATGAGCAAGTTCATCTGAAGTTTTTATAGCTGTAGGAAGAAAGAAAAAACAATCCAGCAGTGATGATTCTGTTCTGGTAAAATATGAAGAATGCCTGACAGAAAGAAGTACTTTACCAGGTTACATCAGGTCAGCACTGAGTTTGTTGTACTTTAATCAGATCAGTCACAGTTGTGTAGGTCTGTGTTTTTAAAGCTTATTTCTCTTGTTTTTATTTACTCAACATTCACTTTTTCAGGGCATTGGAAACATGGACTATTTCTAACAGCAATCTCAATGTTTACAATGCAGCATCTACAACACAGAGATGATTTCTGGCGAGTGCTAAGCTGTTCACAGCAGTCAGTGGATGACATTGACATTGACATTGAGAGCTGTTAATCACTTATGGCTTATGCTATTGCCTTGGAATGAATCCCATGTTGTGCCAGGGCCAGGGCTAGTTCCGCAGGACAGAAAATACAGTGTTCAAATAAGAAAGGCAAATTTGAGGTGAAATAAGTGCTACCAGCAGTAGTTCAGGGGTCAGAAAATGTAAAATGGCTGCAGCTGCTGTGTGTGCATTTGAAGAGCCGCAGTCACACGCGCTGCACTTACGGGCTTTGCGTCAGCACCTCTTTGGCAACAGACCCAGCTCTATCACAGTCAGTTCCAGGAACCCACAACTAGTCCTACCTCTGTCTTGTCAGACACTCTTCCCAATCTGTGCCTGCCTGGAAGGCTGTCACATGCCTAAGTTGTGTCTGCCAATCTGAAAATGTACTCGAGCTTTTCGACTAGGAAAGAAATTCCAAGGAAGAAGTAGAAGAAGGTGTGAGTGAATAAAGATGTGTTTGTGCAGCTACTATACGTGTGAGCTTTGACTGCATTTGGTTTTGTTATAAGCTTGCAGCATTGGAGGTGTTTTTAAAGCTCATTTTGTTCAGCTATAGTTGAGAGTTTCTGCTAATCCTTGCTGAAGCCTTGATTTTTGACACAATATTCAATCAGCATGTTACTTCTCAGTGCTACCTGCAGCACACAAAAAGTTTAAATGATTAATCAAGCTATTCAAACAGATTTCAACAGGATTAAGAATTAACTGGAGTTCACCAAAATTTTCCAGCTGAGATGCAGACCAAAGCTTTGATTCTGCTCAGGGCTGCAAGTTAATGTGTAACAAGACAGGTTATCTCATCACACTTCTTGTGACTTAGGCGCAAATGGTGCATGGACAGGTACTTTCATTGCAACAATAGCCACGGATTTCTGTTGGAAAAATGTTTTTCAGGCTCGGTCCTTTAAATATGATGATTATTCATTCACAAACTTCTTTAAAGAGAGAAGCATCTGAAAAGCAGTAACTGGCAATACTGTGTTTATCTCATTTTAAAACTCCCCTTGGGCTGGGACTGATAGTCCAAGGGTACCCACTGGTGTGGTAGGTGGGGTTTTGCATCCCCCCAGATGCCAGTGAAGTTCAGCTCTGGATCTGAACCTTCCAGCTCAGGCCATTGGCTGGTGACACAGAACACTCACTGTTTTATTCTGGCAGGTAGAGTGTACAAAAAGTCCAGGCTTTGGATTTGAAGTACAGTTCTGGACAGAGAAGTAACTGTAAAAAGATATTTTTTAGGTATCTTTTACTCAATTGACATGCTCTCTCCATGTCCTTCAGGCATTTCTGCTGATCTTACTGATTCAGTAGTTACTACTGTTAGTGCTGCAAAATTGGTAACACTGGTGTAAAGACTTGGATTCTCTCCTGCAATGTGTGTTATCAGCAAAAGTCCTTGCTGTTTTGTAGTGCAGATTTTGAATAATTGGATGATGTACCACACAGGAGAGTAAAGCAGCTTGAGTTTTCCAACTAAAGAGACATTTTTGGTCTCAAAATCAGAAAAAAAGAAATTACTAGAGTCTAATCCACAGTCTACTAGAGTCTAAACTAAGCCTATCTGACCAGAATGACTGAGTGAATCTGAAACCCCTCCATGTAATTTTAACATCAGGTCTTAAAGGCCCACTTAAGCAAGAGAGGCAAACACTGGCCTCTGGCATGTTTTTGTAGGTATATGTTGCCATTTTTCCTTGACTCATGTTTGTTCCTCATTTAATGTTGCAGTGATGACTTCCAAATTGATAAATAAATAAAATCACAAATTACATGTTCTTAGGGCTGAGCAATGGAGCATTAAGGTCATAGAAAGAGTGGAGCATGCAATTCTAAAAGATTTTTCTGTGGGATGTGCTGATGATTCTTTAAAACTACTTACTGGAAAAATTATAGGTTGCAAAGCAATAAATCTCATCTTCAAGTGGGGTTTTAATTTTGAAAAAAGAACAATGTAAAAATGCCACCTTTGTTCTCAACAGCCCTTTTCTTTTAATGTTTCAGTTCAGAGATATCTTACATGAAGACACAGCCTCATAATGATAGCTATATATCCTCCAGACAACAGTAGATAAGAGAGATAATTTTTCTTCTTCCTTAGGTATTGTTCATTAATAAGTTGCCATCTTACTTCTTCTAGGCACCAGTAACAGATGTGCAGTTTGGCCCTATGAGACTTCATCAAGATCAACTTCAGGTAACAAAGCAGTTCAAACTGAAGTCTTGATTTCTAAAATATCACAGATGTTAGCTTAAAATTTATGACTGGAATTTTTTGGATTATAGAGATCTTCACAGAGTATTTTGCTCAAGAGATAACGTGCACATAACAGATTTTTATCATGACATTCTATCTATGTGATATCCTAAAAATCCTGCCTATTTTCTCCAACCATCTCTCAGCTCATAAAAATGGAGCAGTTTTTTTCTGCTATCAGTTACCTTGTAATTAATTTAGTTTGTGCCTCATTTTTTATTTTATGGTAGTCAAATTCTTAACCAAAATCTCATCAAACTGATACCAAGCTAACCAAAGTTGCAACATTATTACAAAAAATATGAAGTGATCTTGGCAAAATATATATTTTTTATTATTCATTTCTGACTGACAATAACTAATCCTCTTTTATCCCTTCATTAATAAAGAGTTTATATCGTTTGTCCCCTTACTTTGCCGGGGATGGACATGAGGTTTGGAGATATATGATTGCTTTGGACTTCCTTTGGAAATTCTCCCATATCCCAAGGCATACTGAACAATTAATCATCCAAGATGTTCCTCAGTCAGTAATTGCAAAACTCCTCAGTAGAGGCAATGTGGACCTAAAAAATGTCTTAAGAACTGCAGTTTAACATCTTCTTGAGCAGAGTCAGAACAGTAATATCATCAAAAATCAGATCTTAGGACATGCTCATCCAGCTGTTCCCCCAAATCAGAATAGTCCTTGAGTATTTCTGCCACCTGTATTGTTTTTAATGATTGTATCACTTTTGTCCAGTCATAGACCTCTCTGAAATGCTACTGATTCATCCTGGTAATATAGCTGGCAGGTGTGAGGGAAGGAGAAGGTAGGGAACATCACATTTTTGCCAGAGTCAATCATACTACTCAGATCTGCTGACTTTCTGTGCCATTGCTGAAACCCATTCTTCCCCTCTTAAGGAGTGTATAGTAACTTCACTAAACATGGCTCAAACTATGACATGTTTTTGCAAACAGTTTTGCAGGCTGCTATTGAAAGGAACCTGAACTGAATGTGTGCAAAATCCTTCATTCTTACAAAAACATGCAGTACATGGAGATGTTAAGATTTACTGGTAGACATTTCACCAGCCTGGTCCAAAGTGTAACAGCACTGGAATTCCTAAAATCACACAGAAGATAAACAGCAGTGGGATGTGATGTGAGTTACACATGTTTCACTTTGCCTGATCAAAACATATCTGAGTTGGTTTGATTCAACCATAGTGAAATATTGGTGTCTTGGCACAATAGACCAAATGCTGGCTTAATTACCCATCTTTCCCAAAAGGCTACATGTGCTGAGCCATCCCCAGAATCAACACAACATAGATCTACAGTCTGCCATGCTGCATTCTTTCAGGCAAGAGAAGTTTTCTTCTGCAAAGCATTATCCTGATGCAAAGCACAATCACATCAGTGAGTCTTCCTTAATGGACTTTGTTCATCTTCTGTACTGTATTAAATCTGAGAATTGGAAATACATTTTAAAGGAACTGGGCCTTATCATACTTTATAGGCATTGTGTTGATTTTAAAAAGGCTTAGAGAGATTAGTTACTAGCAATTACATGGCAAGTTAGGACAGAGCGAATAGTGGCTCACAGGTCTGACCTCCAGTTCTGGATTTCAGCTATGATAATCTCCTTCTGTGATATAAATCCCATGGCAGGCTTTGTGTAGGAGTCATACGGGGCCATACTCCATATACAGTGGCACTGCTTATGATTTCAGTCTGGCATGAGCTCCTTTTGACCAGCCTGTTCAGAATTTCCAGAATCCCCACAGAGTGGGCAGTACTTTGGGGAATTAGGATGAGATAGAAAGGAAAGCAGACTTTTTGTCATGCCATTGAAGCAGCATTATATACTGATTCACACAAGATGAGCCATGGGTTTTTTTGGTTTTTTCCCCTCCTTTTCTGGAATATGATCCTGGCAAGAAAAATAAACCCCAAGAAAAAGGTTGCATGTGAGACAGGTTTCAGAGAAGTGCACTCACTGTTGGTTCATGTACACTGTCTGAAACACAAGCATGTTGTCTCAGCTGATTGCCTAAGCCTCTCTTTGTAGATAATGATAAGAGAGTTCCAAAACTTGTTCTTCCAATGTGGATTACATGGCTTTGGCAGACTGTTTCACCCACTTGAAACACCACTGTAGACAGACAGCTATAAAAAAAACAGTGGTCTATAGAAAGCAATTCTGTTAAAAACAACAGATTAAACCTCAACAATGGCTCTAACATGTTAAGAACAGGGAAAAGTCAGAGTGTCTACTGTAAGATCTGTTTGTGATGATCCACTGCCTGTCTTCACCTCAGGTACTTTTAGTGTTTGCTGAGGAAGACGAGCAGAGTAACGGGTTCCGCTGGGCGTGTGACAAGGCTGGATTTCGATGTAATATTGCCAGGACACCTCAGTCTGCACTAGAATGTTTTCTAGATAAGCACCATGACATTATCATTATTGACCATAGACATTCCAGATACTTCGATGCAGAAGCATTATGCAGGTAAGCACTGTTTCAGTGTAATTAATACTTAACAATGTAGTTAACACTTCATCAAAGTTCTTTTGCTTTTATGTAACATATCTATAAACTCACTGCAGCATTTTTTGGTTTTAGACAGGTGTGCACAGCATCAAATACTGTTACTTCAGTGCTTTACATCTGATAGCTGCAGCATTTTTGGTTGTGTCTTAGGGTCTCTGAAGCTCCATCTGGCTTGAAGCCACAGTGTACAGATTTGTTGCCATGGTGAACTGTTGGATATTTTTTTGATTTTCTTTTGGTGTTTGATTGTTTGGAGTTTATTATAAAATACCTGGTTCCTTGTTTGCACACTAAATCAACTGCAAAGATAGCATGTGCCACCAAGCACCTTAATTAATTCATTCACTTCATTAATATTCTATTTTTTTTGCAATGTCACTTCCTGTTGAATAACTCCCAGTGCAAACAGGCAGTGTTTGGTGTGCACGTTTCCATATCTACAACATTTAAAAATACGTTGTGAAGAGCAAAATTGCAAACAGATTCCAAAAATAATTTTAGAAACTTCTGTAAAGTATGAAAAAAGGAAGGATTTGCCTTTGTAAGTCTCTTCACAGAGACTTGACAGGCAACAGTGCCTTGCTCCAGTGAAATTGCAGTCCTTGGTCCATGACTTTGCAGTGAAATTGCCCTTGGGAATGTGTCTAGACTGAATAAGGGTCGGAGTGTGTGCCTGGGGGACTGTTGTGGAGCAAAGGCTCTTCTTGCTGAACTGGGAGAAGTAGATAAGATCTTTGTCAGGCCAAGGTTAGGTAGAAGTGCTGTTCCCCTTGTTCCATTTTTACCAATCTGTCCCAGAATTCAGTAAAATGCACCTTAAATGAGTGAGGCCAAGCCCTTCAAACAAGTCCATTATATGCTGTTTCAGAGAGGATATTTTTTGCTATTCCCCCACTGAGAGTATTTGAGTTGCAGATTAATCTATGTTCATGGAGTCTCAGATATAATTTATTCTCCTTTCTTAGCAGCAGGCTTGGGATTTGACTTTTGTTTTGTTGTTAAATGATTTAAAAGAGATATTTTAAGAAAAGTGCTGTCTATAGGTTCTGTAAAGTTATGTTTTCTGAAATGTGAACTTAAAGATAACGTAAACGGTTTGCTTTTTATTTAAAGGTCTATCAGAACAACAAAAGCCTCAGAAAATACAGTCATTATTTGTGTAGTACAAAGGTAAATTCTCATTTCTTTACTTTCACCCATGATCAAAACTATAAATCTTACCATTATAAAAGTAAACATACATTAAAAAACCTGAATTAGAAGTTCCTACTATGCTAATAATAATGTGCTGTACCGTGAGTTAACAGAGCTTTTACTATCCTTGACCATAGAATTGGGACAGGAAATGTTTTTTTGTTAGTATAGCCAAATTATTCAAATACTTGATTTGGGAATGTGTCCCAAATGTGACTTAATAGAAGGCAGTGGGTAGGCAACACTAGAAAATACATCTTGATTCAGGCACCTCGAATTGTCCATCTAAGATCTGGTACATTCAGATAACAAGTAATTTCTTCAAACTTGGCTGTGCAGACTTTCAGGTGCATTTCTGACTAATGCCAGCATAAACAACAAGGATCCAGTACAGAATAAGTCCAGTGATCTAGCTCAGTAATTGATTTCCTTGAAGCATTAGAGTTTTATTGATGTAAGCAGCTCATTACATGCATGATGGAAAATAACATTTTGGCTTATCCATGCCAAAGATGAAAGCTTATAAAAAAACAAAAAAAAAAAAGTTTTATTCCTATACCCTGTAAGGAACTAGCAGTATTAGCCTCAGTGTAACATTTGGGGTACAAGTAGATGAATGGATTGTGAAATTTGTTCTGAGTTAATTACACAAATAATCTCTGAGTTATCCTCCTTGTTTCAAAGGCACACTGATCGTGAAGAGTCATCAATATTGCCCCTGATCTCTGCTGGCTTCACAAGGGTATGTGCTATACTTGGCTGGCTTGCTCTTTCATTTCAGGATTGTCATGCAAGGAGCTCTCCAGAAGTTTGGCTGTCTGTCACCATTTGTGTCAGTGATCCAGCCTGCAGATCTTCTTCATGCTGCTCATTCTCCTATGTCCCAATTCCGAATATTGACATGACACTCTCTGGGATATAAGAACTGGGTCTGAGACTTCTCTACTTCATACATTTATTTCAGATTAAATACATGATCCTTTCCTTGAAAAGTTGGCATTGACAAATTGATTAGTGGCTGTGGCAGAGGCAGAGAGCAGCTTGCAATGAACAACAGAATGTGCTGTTGGAAATTTCTTCTATCAAATGCCAATTCCCATTGTAAACATGCTTCACACACTGTCAAGTACTATTAGCTGTTGTTTGGAGGCCCCTGAGAATCAGTGCATTGAAACTGTTTCTTGGCAACTATTCCAGCTGAGCAGAAAAGGTGCTTATTAGTGCATCAGTTAGGTGGGTACCTTATTGCCTTCAGCTGACAATGGAACAAGAATGGGCCTGATTTACAGCGCGATTCCAAATATTTAGTTGCGTGCTCACCGGATTTTTGCTGTCCCATCACATTCCATTTGCACCCATCTTCTTATTTCTAGTGAAGTCCCAATCCAGGAAATGCTACCTCCTGAAGATAATGGCATTTATATGAACAGAGTCTTTCCAGTGGGCACATAAGTAATTCAACACAGGTTCTGAATTATTTATGGATCGGAGTCTTGGAGATGGGGCTAATGGCAAAGCATAGAAAATTTTGTTTAGCAGCTTTGACTGCGGTGGTTTACCTGTGATAATCAATCCTCCTGCCCAAACTGTCCATGTCTGTGGGAGTTTAGTGTGAACAAAGAATTAACATTCAGGCTCATACGTCGTAAATATCAAATGTTTTTTAAAAAGTGAAAGATACTGAGGTCATTGCTATAAAAGCCCCAAGATCAACAAGGGTATATTTCACAGGAAATTTTATTTTCATCTATATAGACAATTTGGCATATTAGCAGTTGGCAACTCATAATAATTTTAAATTTTAACTACTTGAGACCAAACAATTTTTTTCACTGTTATTTTTAATAAGTATCATGAAAGCTGAAAGTAATTTTTTTAAAAATACATTGATCCTGCTGACAATCACAGAGAATAAACAGGTTGGTTGAACCTCATTGCCATGAGGATCTGTCACCTTTTCAAAATGCAGTAACTTTTGTTTTGCTAGAAAAAATAATCTTCTCTCATTGCTCGTGTCTCAGCTTGTTCATTTTTGGCATATCTACTCCTTTCTTGGTTCTTTAGCAAGCAAAAGAAATCAGAGCTTCAAATCCTTGCAGATGGGAATGTGTATTAATGAAATATTTCTAACCTTTTCTCTGCAGAGATATGTAGAAAATTCTAGTAGAATGGCCTGTTACAATGAGTTGATTCAGCTGGAATTTGGACAGGTGCAGGCACAATTCAAACTAAGGTAATTTTACTAAAAAGCATTATCAACAAAGAATTTCCAATTTAGCCAGATCCTTAATAGAGTATTTATTCTAATGTGCAGTATTTAATTATAGAATGTCAGTTACCTGAAGTAAATACATTAATTGTTAAACTACAACATTATTCAGTATGGAGTTGTAATACTTTATCATATATAAGAAGAATTAAGTGGATAACATTTTTTGGATGCCTTTTTCTTTTTCCTCCAGGGCATGTAATTCATTATTTACAGCATTAGAGAAAAGTCAAGAAGCCATTGAGATCACAAGTGAAGACCATGTAATACAGGTTTGTTCCAGTCATAAGAAAATTTCTCTGTATTTTAGTTCATCTATGATGACACTTACTCTTTCTTACAGTACAAAAATCTAATCCAACTTAATGGTTCTAAAAAGTTGAAGTGAGTTTAACTGTAGAGTAGAATTTGCTCTATTTTAAAGTGTCTGGCATAAATCAAATAAATTTTAAGGGAGATTGTTGTTTCTGAATGAATAAAGATTTATTCTCTTGTTTATTTTATATATTGATTCTTTATTATTCATTCCTTCTCTATATCAAGAATGAATGCAGCCGCTGGCTTCTGTGCATTCTTTTCCAAAAATATTGTGTGTTAATATGATGCTCTTTAAAATCTAATGGATATTCTGTTCAAATAATTATACTTTATTTTTCAAAAATCTTATACTGTTTGATGTATCAGAATTTTTGGGTCAACTGTTTTTGAATGTAATCCTCTCTTAGAAATTTCTTCAAAACAGGGAAAAGAAATTGTGCTTAGTTTTGTAGTTCTGAAAACCATCATCTTTTTAAAGGAGTTAGTTCCATCCCTAGATGTGAAGCAGCGATGAATGATTTTATTATCAGTAAAGAGCTTGAGTCTAAGCCTCTGGGAATTATAACATGCATACAAATTTTACCTGCTTGAGCCAAATTTGACAATGGCAATTTCATTGAAGGATGTTCCTTCTTCATCCCTTTTACAAAATAACAGAACACATCCTGAAATTGTTTTAAACACACTCTTTTGAAACCAAATTTTGTGCCTCTGCTGACAGCCCTAGAGTATGAGAGAGTGTACACTTGCAGAAGTCCTGGAGCTCCAGCAGGCACAGCTTTTGCACAGGGAGAGGAAGGAAGGTGCTCCTTTGGGAAGGAGCTTTGAGTGGAGAACCATTAGAAGTACAGTGGCACCTTTTCCTTTCTCTCATATTAAAACATTGTGAGTTGTAAAGGCATTCAGATGCTGCTTTGGCAGGACTGTGCCTGTAACTCAGCAAGTGAGAGGGCTGTGAAGGGGTGGGCTGTTGGAACAGTCTTCAGCTTTATTGGGCAAGGGCCAGAAACTGCAGAGAAATGCAACATTCACTTCGGGGAGAAGCCTGCTTTGTTAAATCCCACTTCTTCCACTCTGCTTGGCTGGGCTTTGCCTGGACAGGAGAGTAGTGATGGTTAGCCCTTACACAGAGCATGATGATGAATTTGCCAATAGATATGGATAATATTCCTATGGTTTTTCACCATCCAGCCTGTGATTTTTAGGAACACTGAGGTAGGTTTGAGGTTTATTGGTTTGGGAACTGACAGAGCCCATTTTTCAGGAATTATTTTGTCTGTCTAAACTCTGGATATGTGATACTCAGATGTTCACGTAATTTCCCTCTCTTTGCTGACATGTGCTCACTCTGCACATCTATTGAATGGAATGGAATGGAAATTCCTGGTTTGCTTCACAGAGTAGAATATGTGGGCATCTCTCTCAGAAATAGTACATGCAGACATTGATTTCAGGGTAGGAAAGAGATCTGGTTAAGCAAACAAAACAAAGGATTCTGTTGTGCTTTAAGTACACTATTGAATTGGTATTTGTTTTGTTTCTTTTATTTCACAGTACGTCAATCCTGCTTTTGAAACAATGATGGGCTATCAAATAGGTGAACTAATAGAAAAGGAACTAACAGAAGTGCCTATAAATGAAAAAAAAGCTGATTTCTTAGATACTATTAATTCCTGCATAAAGATAGGAAAGGTGAGTAATAGCATTGTATTATTTGCTATCTGTAAAAGTTACTTTAGTCCAGCAGTGATACACGTTGGGACTTGCAGCTTCACAAATGCATAGCATTTGCAACTCACTTAAAACAAGAACAGGAAGTGAAAAATTGTTCATTTTTTTAAGGGTTTCTTTCTCTTTTCTTGCTTGGTAGAGGTACTTGTTTTACAAAAATAAGTGACTTGCTGCATTTCTTTATAACTTATGCTGTTCGTAGCAAATGGTGTGGGAGTACCGAAGAAAAATGAGATGGATGCACATGTTATCTGGTGCTATGTAAATGAGAAAAGTACCATATTGAAGGATTTCACCATGAAATGTGGAAGCTGCTTTACAAGTTCAGAATGTAAAAATACCGAGGAGACATTTGCAATATCACTTGAAAGTGATAGGCAGTGTCAGCTGCCAGCTGCCAATCTGTTTAATTCCCTAATGGCATGGGAGCCGTCTAACAGATTTCCATTAGAAATGTTCATTGCACCGAGATGAGCTGGTTTCTGATGTCACTGAACATGACACAGTGCCTCGTAGGGAGAAGATCATGGAGGTTGCACAGAGAGATTTGGGAATGTGTGTGTTTAGTGGTGCTCCATGGCTCAGGCTCAGGACTGTCCGTGGGAAGCAGCACAGCACTGGCACAGAGCAGGGAGATGCCAAAGTGAGTCATGGCACTCTGGGTCTAGACAGGGGTGCAAAAGCACAGATTCAAAGTTGTGGTGAGTCATGTTCCGTAGGTCAGGGTGCTGACACAGCACTCAGTGGCAAAAGCTGGGTGCAGATGCCATCTGCATCTCAAGGAGATTGTGTCACTCATTTCCAGATGTGTTGGCTTGGAAGAGATCCCAGAGACCAACACTAGTTTGGATTATGGTGCTTCACACCTCTGTTGCCTGACTGAAATTATTTCAGTAAATGTGTGCAATACAAACCTGAATTTAGGAGGGAGTATTTATTAAATTAAAATTCAAATACATTAGATATGTCAGGCATTAAATCTACACTATCAATTCTCAAGATATGAAGTGATAAAATTTTTAATATTTTACTGAGCTGATAAAAATTTCATTAATAATGGAAAGATACTTTACTCTATGAATGATATAAATCTAAATCTAATGAATCTCTTTCCTTGTACTAATTTTACTCCTGACTGTGTGGCTTCAACAGTGAGGGCTAATGAAATATTGCCTACTTAAATCTGTCTGTCTGGAACAGCTTAAGCTGTTTAGGTGGATATATTCTGTTTGCAGGTGTTCTGTGTTTCTCTCTGGAACATTTTATATGTAATCTATGCAACCTTACATTTATATATTAATATAAAAATGAATTGCCAATTAAATTATTACAGGAATCATTTGCAAGTAGAGGTTAACTGTGAGGAATAACCTTTGAGATACTTGAAGTTTTGAAATCATTTGTGCCAAGATATTACAGCATTTTCAGATGTGCCTGAGTTACCTGGATCATTCTGACATGGTCTGTGTGTAGTTTTCAGGCTTGTGATTTCTTTATATCTTACATTTAAAAGACTGCTTCTCACTACAATAGGTCATATTTTGGCTACTGTAGGTTACAGCATATCAAAAAAAGGAAACTGCTGCTGTGATAATCTCCTGTCAACAGGTTTGACTTTTCTGTTTTGAACAAATGTGGTACTATACTAACATTGTAATAAAAATAATAGAAAGCAAATTTTTCTGATCTTTCAAAAAATCTAAGCTTCATTAAATTTATCTTGTCTTTAAATGGAATTTAGGAAGATGGACTCTTGCAGCATTTCACCTCTTGTGCTGACAGGCATAGTGTTGTGAGCAAGTTCAGTATATTCAAACCAGTTCATAGGTGTTACACTGAAAAACTGGAAATTGCAAGGTACGTAGGGATTCTTGGGCCAGGATGTTGTTTCTCTTAGCAAAAAACATATCTCTGGAAGTTAATTTTTTGTTACTACAGCTGGCTGTAATTTGCCAGAAGCCAGTGTTATTAAAATGTTCATCTGTCCATACTTGAGGAGTTAAAAGAGTTGTGCTTTTCTTCATTCTTCTGTTTCATGATTCAAATTGCATCCATTAAGATGAAATGTGCAATTCTGACTAGAATTCTTGATGCCTCTGATCTCTGCTGTTTGCTCTTAGTTTTGCTTTTTCTGAAGTGAGATGAACAGCTAAGGATAAAGCTGACAAGACACGCAATTCCTCTCACTCTTTGGGAGCTGTTTGCAAGGTCTTTCCAGAGGGGGTGGGAGAGCAATCACACTCTGATTAAGATCTGTGGAAGGCAGCACCTTCCTAGCTCAGCCTTCAGTTCTGTGAGATTGTGCTCAGGACGCCTTGTGTTTATTTTGGTTTGTTCTGTTTTCTGCGAGACATTTGCTGAACTTTGCTGTCTAGTGCAAGAAGCCCCAGCCTAAAAGGAAGGCTGAACTGGGGGGTTCCTTACTGTGCCTGTGAGAGTGCTCAGTGGATAGATGTGTGCCTTGGCCTTCTTCATGGGGTTTGAAACCTCAGCATTGCTTCACTCTGTAAGGAGTGACACTGTGGGGTTTGCTGTGTGTGGTGTTTGCTCTTGTTTGATCCCAGCACTCCCCACAGCAGGAACTGGTCATGGTGCTTGTGTGGCTCCAGTGCAGACATAACCATGGGCTTGACTGACAGCACGTCTTGGGAATAGCTCTTCTCTGTTGGACTGCTGACAGAGGCTCTGGGAGAGAGCATATGGTGTTCTTAAAATATGTTTAAGTGACATCCTAGGGAGAACTTCACCTACCAGCAGGAGTTTGGCTTGAGCCTCCTGTTTCTCAGAATTGCACTGACCTTTTCCCACACACGTTTCCTGCCACAGATTCACAGGTTTTAGAAATTCACAAGTTGAAAAATCAATCTGTTGACTAAGAAGAACACATTAGTGAATAACCTGCCCTGAAAAGGATTCGCTTTCAATGAGGGAATTATCCAATCTGTAGTTTATGACTTTACCCTTTTGTGCACATCCTGGGTTTATTACCTGGGTTAGAGATCAATTACTCATCTCTACCTCATCCTGGTTGTCAGGAAACTATTGATGTGCATACTTTTAATTATGAGAGCATTGACTTTTGTGGTGCTTGCTTTATCTTCATCTGTATTCCTCAAGCAGCTCACAGAAGACATTATGCTCACTACACAGTTTGTTATGCACAGTTTTCTTCTCTGACAGATCCTCAAAAAAGCCTTTCATATTTTTTTCTATACAGCCTGTCACCATGCAGTTCTCTGTGGGCTGGAGTCTTTATTTGCTGACTCTATCAACATAAATGTAAAACAATTCTCTGTACCTGTGTTCTGGCCGGCTTGACTGTGGAATCTGTCAGTCTCACATAAATAAATACATATTGTGTGCCTCATGAGGGTATTTTCACATAAATAAGATCTGATCTACAGTTTGTTGAACTCAGCTGAAATACAGCAATTGGCCTGAGCAATTTGTGTTAAGTGAACATGCAAGATGGATTCAATTATTCATTAATCACTTGGTATTTAGTAAATGCCCGGCTCAAAATATGCATCTGTTAAAAAAACACCACCAACAGCTATTCTAGAGATGGAAACACAAAGGCAATCCTAAAGCCAGAGTGCTTCTAGAGGGGAGGCAGAATCCAAAAGCTATTCTACTGGGCTCTCTTCTGCTTTAAAAGAAACAGAATAAATTTCTGCTGTATTTGATAGTAAACTGACAGGATGGAAAGTAAACGTGCTGGGATACCAAAGCCCTTTAAGTCACAGATACATTTAATGTTAACCAGTGATAAGACACCCCAGCCGTGCAGGAGAGATGGTGTATCCAGCAGGGAGGATGATCAGGGCAGTGTCACAGCTTTGCAGTGACCTTCCTGTCCTGGGTCCCTGGGAGTCCCACACCTGCAGCCCTGGGGGGACTCTGCTCCTGGCAGAGGCTACTCTGAGCTCCTGCTCTCACAAGGCTCTTTGCCAGCTCTCCCCAAAATGACCTGCAATGCCATTGAGGTAGGATGGGGAAAAGAATGTAGCTGATTCTCACAGCTCCTGAAGTCCAGCTGTTGCCATCAGAGTATTCCCAGGCTGCTTCTCTGTGAGTTGTCCACACATTGGCAGCAACACAGTGACCTACAGGTTACTTACAGGGGAGAAAGTTGAGGGTTTGAGCACAGTTTAACCAGTCCTGCCTGGTTTTGTATTGTGAGATAGCATTCAGTGAAAGAAAAGTATGAAGCTACAGCTTCTCTTTATGTTTTATCTGAACTTCCTTCCACATTAATTATCTTTTCAGGAATGGCAAGGAATGTACTATGCGAAAAAGAAAAATGGAGATAGCATACAACAAAATGTGAAGATACTACCTGTCATTGGACAGGGAGGGTAAGTGTGAAAGCTAAAGTCATAATTTGTGTCTGAATGAAGACTCAGTTTAGAGTTCAGTTGCCTTCAGCAAATATTGGATTATCCTGCTACTGAGTATAATGGAAGCTTATGCAAGGAAGGGCGCCTCTGACCTCTGTGCTTAATTCCTGGGGGCAAAATCAACTTTATATGCTGTGTGCAGGCAAAGTGAAATTCTCCTAATTCTCCCTGAAAAGGATCTAAAGATGCAGATGTGCTCACTTGTGACTGACTCTTCTAATTCTCCCTGAAGTGCAAGTGCACCCTCCTGTCCTTCTGTGCTTCATGTTGGTGTCACCAGGACCTACATCCTGTTTCACTGAGCACCTGTACTGTGTCCTTCCACACTCAATTTTCTGTGCTTCTTCTTTCATGGCTATTGCCAAGGGTTGTCATGGGATGAGGTCACTGTGTGCTTTGATCATGGGCAAGATTCAAGCATATCTAGATTTTTATGCAGCTTCCACTTGGTCCCCAAACTGAGCCTTTGGAGCAGCCAAGTATCAGCACTGAATTAGAGCTGAGGTTTGGATGGGAATTAACACACTGTTTTTTGCCTGCAGAAAGATTAGACACTATGTGTCAATTAGTAGACTGTGCAATGACAACAATAAGGTAAGTGAAAACAGTGCTATGCTCACTTTAGTTTGAGCCCTAAGTATAACAAAATAATGGCAAAGTTCTGACTAACTGGATTTCTTCTACTGAATTGTAGGTGGAGAAGACATGTGAATGTATTCAGGCTGAATCTCAGACAGGTACGACACGTCTCTTCTGTCCCAAGAAGTGGAGAACATACCTGGGGAGAGAATAAAGGCCATTGTTAGTAATTTGACTGAAAACACAGTTTCACAAAACAGTCCTATTTACCTAGTGATAAGCTGGGAATCCAACTCAAAAGGCAGGAAAGTAAATGCAAGCCCCCTCTCTACCTGCCTCACTTACTTTAGAGGTGACATAAAGCAACCCTCCTTTGAAAACGCTGTCACAGGACCCCAAGTTGGTATCATGGTATTGCTGGATTTAGTGCCACAGTTCAGTTGTAGGTGGTGGATTCCTGTGACAGAATTAGAAATGAGAAGGATGCTGTCATGTCATGTGTTGCTGTGGCTGCTCCATAGCACATGGCACCTGTGTCTGCACTGCTTTGTGCTGCATTGTGAGGAATTTGCATGTGGGTGGAAATGAGGATGACCAACATTATCATTCACCCTCATCTCACATATCAGCACTTCAGTTAGGACATCCTTAGCATCCATGCTGCAGCTACTTGTTAACTTAGTCTTAACACAGGCTGAACGTGGGAGTCCATAGGGAACCAGGGATATGCTGCCCCATTTGCTGGCATGTGCTCTGCTTTGCCCCACCAGTTTCTGGTGGCAGTGGTTACTTGAGTGAACTCAGGTGTGCTGCACAAGCTGTGTTCACAACTGCAATTGTGCCACAGTGGCAAGAGAGGAGCTTTTCTCTCCACATGGTTTCCTTCTGCACAGACATGTAGGCATGTTCTTAATGAGAACCTGACTGGGTTCTGGACAGTGTAATGGGGCAAGAGCTTTAAAAGGCACTTTGATCAGCTCTCATCTGCTGAAGCATTGAGGTCAATGCCACTCAGCTGCTGCCAGGCTTTTCTGAGCTTCAGTTCCTTTAACATACATCTTAGGCAGAACTCTGTTGTCATTATGCAATATCATTTTCTTCACAGATACTCAGACTTGCAGACACAAAGACATGAGGAAAGGATCCCTGGATGTCAGATCCACAACATCACGTGGGAGTGATGGTATGTGAAACAACTCATCATGTTGGGTCTGGCTGAGTTGGAGTTGTCATGCAAACCCAATACACAAATTATTACATTTCTTACCTCTTCCCTTGATAAAGATATGAAGATATTTATTTCTTAATTTTGTTTTCTTTCTCTGTGTTGTATTTTGCTCTGTTAGATCACCCCAAACTTGATAGATGAGTAACGTACTCAAAACTGTTGCTGACACTTACATGCTTTTGTTAAATCATACCTCATCACAATCTAGGCAGCATACACTAGTGAAGCATGTCTATGGCAGTGAGAATACTCTCATGTTCCAGTATAGCAAAAATAGCATTGACTCTTCTTCTTAAGAACTGCTCAGCACAATGAGTAACAGAGATGTGTCTGCATTTTGTAGGTAGCACAATATCCAGAAAAATCTCATCTTGACCTTTTCTCTGCAGAATCAAAATTGCTAACTGATATAAAACATTTGTTTTTAAATTTCCAATGAATAATAGGCCAGAACCTCTGCTGTTTTTATTTGGCACAGGTACCCACTTCAAAAGAGCTTGAGTGATTTACCTCAGGAAGCTGACTCATTATGACTTGTCATACTGCATCAGGCAGCAAGAGTAGATAGATCCTGCAATAATCTAAATTCAGTGGTTACCTACCTGTGCCTGCCAGTTTATACACACACATCTCTATAGTCTTTTAACTGAGTTTTTAACTGAATATTTTAATTAGTTAAAATAACAAAGCAAAGCCATGATTTTGCCAGGCTGTTACAGCCACTTATTTCTAATCAGGGACATGAGTGGTTCAGCCAGCATCTCTTTGCACTTGTGCATTCTGCAGTAGATTGCCTCTGAAAGGCACAGCAGGGTAAGCAGTGCAGAGAAGGCCTCAGGAGTTCCTGGCTGATCCTCCCATCAGGCCTTGTCTCTGCAATCTGGGTACAAATTCTGCTCTGTTCTGCACACAGGCAGCTCGCAGCGGCGCCGCTCCTCCATGGCCAGGGTCCATTCCATGACTATCGAGGCTCCCATCACCAAGGTAATGTCACAGCTGGGCTGGGCTGCAGCACTGGGGCATGAGGCTCCAGGAGAGCACCAGCCTCTGGTGTATCTCCTTCCCCTGTTCCACCTACCCACTGCTGTAGCTTCAAAAATACAGATACTCTGAACAAAGATCTCCCAGACCTGCTTGGTAGAGTTTCACCCATGGGGTCAGCCATCATGTGATCCTTTTTAAGGAGGAGGGTTTGGAGTTCCTCTTTCTTACTTATGCATAGTCAATTGCTTTCTGAAATCACTCAAGGATTTGTGAAAAATCAGCTCTTTAACAAATTGAGAGGCAAGTGGGAGAAAGTTAAATTAAATCCATTCACAGATATTTTGAGGCTGTGCCTTGGAGGGGAAAGTCATTAATAAGATTGCTGTCTCTAAGGCCACAATCTTATTCCCAGAGTCAGCGGCAAACATCAGCATTTCAGTAACATCCCTTTCATTTTGATTTTCCCCCATGCAGATTAAAGTTTTAGATCTTGTTATTTTCCTGAGTTTTTCTATAGTAACTAATGAGTGTCTCTGGTTTTTTAAAATCACTTCTAAGTTCACAATATGTCTGATGCTGCCTTAGGTAATAAATATCATCAATGCTGCGCAAGAGAGCAGTCCCATGCCAGTTGCAGAAGCTTTAGACCGGGCTTTGGAGATTTTAAGAACCACTGAATTGTACTCTCCACAACTGGGGACAAAAGATGAGGATCCACATACAAGTGACCTTGTTGGAGGGTTAATGACAGTAAGTACTTACTGCCACAAACACCTCTTGATTAATGTTCACTGCCTGATTTTCCCAGTTACTTGATCTTTATCCTCTGCCATGTGCTCTGCCTCTACAATGCCAAATTTTCAGGAAAAACTGCACAGGCCTTTTGAGGACTTTCTCTCCCTACCTGAATAATGTAGCTCTGAAAATAGGAAGAAAATTGACCAGCCCCTTTAAAACATTATTTTAGCTAAAAATGGAAAGTAAACATTTTTTTAAAAAATGTGATTTGTTTGAGTAAGGTATAGATGGGAGAGGAAGAAAGAAAGAGAACCTGATAGTTGTATTTATTAATGAGGATTATAATTACATGGTTGGGGGGGGGGTCAGTCTATCAAATGAATGTGTTTTCAAAAGAATGCAAAATACATACTTTTGTTGCTGTTTCTTGGATTATATTTGTACCTGTAGCATAGTACCCAAAGCTGAACAAAGGGCACATAGTGAAGCAAGAACTGAACCCAAACTTTCAGAGCCTGGAGTCTGACCCTCCTGATGGTAACAAGATGAGTTTAGAAGAATGTTACCTGTGCCCTAAGGATATCTAATGTCTTCTCATTAGTCTGTAGCTTGCATATGAAAAGCTACATCAGGAAAAAAATTACAGTGTGTTGGATGCAAAAAGGCTCACAAAATGTGAGCTTTTCAGGGATCTGGGCTATTATAATTTCATGTTGGAACTATCATGATGCCTTTGCAGTACCTATCAGACTCTTCAAATAGTTTATGTGTATTTTTACCTTTAAAAATACCACAGCAAATATCTGATCAGGAGAAATGTGGGAGACTTCAAGAATTCCAGGAGAAGGCCTGAATGATTTATACTGGGTTGTGTTTACTAACTGAGTAGACAAAATTTATTGTTATATTAACTATAAAAATATAAGATGAATATTGATACATATAATCATTAGTCTTGAAGTAAATCTTTTCTCCTGCTTATGAATACATATTCATATTCATACATATTTTATCTCTTATGAATACATAAGAGTCTATAAACTCTATTGTTTTCTCCTTTTTGTGGATTGTTGATTCTTACATGCATTTGTATTCTCATTGTATTTGGTCCACGCACATGAATATAACAATATTGCAAAATATAAAAATCTTTATTAAAAATAAACCCAGGGCTTTTTTGTGGAGCAATAAGTAAAGCTGAGAAAATTAATTTCAGAGCATATGGCATGGTACAAGTTTTAAAGTTATTGGAGAGAAACATTTTTCCATCAAAGAGTCTGCTGAAAACAGAATTATATTGTTCTAAGTGTGTTCAGAAGTTATGTCTGAGAAGGAAACAAGTAATATGTTACTGGATTTGAACTCTCAAGTAGGAAGGGCATTTGGAGTTCAAAGATAGATTTACCAGATACAATTACACCTGCTATTTCAACTCTTAAAACTAATCTTTGATTCTAAATGATAGGCAGCATCTGGTGACCTAAATATTTGTGTCATAGCAGTTCCATTGAATAGCCACTGTTGTACTCCCTTTCCTTTTAAATCACAAAACTCCAGGTTAATTTACTTACAAATGTGAAAATGAAAATTAGATATAGCAGTTCTTTTAAGAGCAGATATTCCATGTTCAGATATGGCATCCACATTTACTTCTGCTATGCTTGGTGTGAATAACATTTTTAGTAAGGTGCATTCATAAATATTTTTTTTAAACACTGTGGTTTTTTTACATGAGCTAACAGCTGTAACCTCAAAAGAGCAAGAGGGATTTGGGCCACAGCATTTAAAATTATAAAATGAAAAGTAAATACTAAATACATAATTCTGTTAGTTTTAATCCATCATCTCAGTGTTCACATCTAGGCATCATGCCAGAATTAAGCCTAGGAGGCACTGAACTGAAGAATAAACAAGCATACTTTCTGTGTGAGAAAAAGGAAGCCTCAGAGTAATTTGTTCCTCTGCAGTCATGAGATTCTTATGCTGCTGAGGTGACTGGATCTGCCAGTACCAGGGCAGGACAGCAGGGGAATGTCTCCATCCACTCCCTCCCACCGCCCACCTTTGCTTGTTGGTGGGAAGTGTGTGGACACACCATGTCTGCTTTGAAGCACAGACCTACAACTGATGTGCATGGTGGCCAAAGGCAGATGTCAGGCTGCAATTCTAGACCTCCATCTGCACCTGAGAAACTTGAGTTTTTGCCTGAGTCCATGTTGTATCCCCTAGCCTGCAGTTCCTCATCTGTTATGAGCTATATGTAAACCAGGCTAATCTGAAAAGCACAAACAAATAAGGGAGAGGCAGCTTTGATGGCAGTGACAGGCTGCAGTCAGGCTTTTCTGAAGCTGTTGTGATACTACTTGGTGTTACCATCTCCTAGACCTATTGTGCAATATCCTCCATTTAACTTGCAACTTTTATTTAACAGGATGGTTTACGAAGATTATCAGGGAACGAGTACATATTGTCAGCAAAACGTAAGTTTTAATTTGGCTACTGAGATACTAAAACATGTTCAGAAATTTAAGAAACAGGGAAATGTCATTAGATGTCCTTTTTATGAGCATTTTCTTTGTTTTGTTTTTTTTTTTTATCTATAAGCATTTTTCTGCAGCATTACTGAGCTGGGTGTTAATACAGAAGGGAAAGCATGGTCATTCCAGTAAAATTGTATCTCACAACTAAATATACTACTTAATATACTGTTAATAAATACCTATAGTAATAACTGTATTCCTCAAAAGAAACTCATCAGGTCGCTGGCAGTCTGAGCTCTCCAATCTCCCTCAATGACATACCCCCACGGATAACACAGGCCATGGAAAATGAGGAACAGTGGGATTTTGATATCTTTGAACTTGAGGCTGCCACCCATAAAAGGTCAGTAAATGCAAGAGCTCATAAACTGAAGTTGCTGAAAAGTGACTTAAATGTCATACTGTAATCAGATCCTTAAGTTCTCTCCCTGTGATTTTAAAACTGAATTAATTTTATTTTCAATGTCAGATGTTTGAAATTTTCTCATTGTCATTTCTAGTTGTATATGCATCTTAAATATCTTCTGTTTCATCATGCACTATTTCCTGCAAATTCCCAGTGGATATATGTGAAGATTATATATCTTTGGTATGGTATAATGACAATACAGTATAAGTTTTAAAGCCTTCCTTTATTCAGTAATAGAAAAGTTATACAAATCAAATTATTTTCTTGTGAGGATTCAAATTCCTATTATGACAAACTGCACACAGAGTCAACATGCTGGTCTTGATTTGACCAGTTGATACAGATCAGGTTTTATTTTCTTTCCATTTGATTGGGTAGGTTTTATTCCTGAACAGTTCCAATACAGCTTTTCAGCAGAATTCCCACTACCTTTCTCTGGGATTAGAGGAAGGTCTTTATTCTAAAATTTTGGCAGGTTACATTTTATGTATAAGCTTAACTGAAGAACATTTACTGATAAAAAGCAGGGCATGCAAATTTCCATCACAGAATTTTTTTTCAAAAGCAGATCAGCAGCTTTGATGGACTGTACTGCATTAGTAGAAAAGACTCACCCTAAGACTGTAAATTGTTCTTTCTCTTAAAATCCTTGGTTTTACTTTCTGATGCTTATCAAAAGTTCCCCTTTTGGATCTAGTTTCATATATATCATGCTTTGTCTTAGGTAAAAGCTTTTGTGAGACACTAATTTGGAGGCCAGATCCTGCAGTGAATTGACTGTCTTCAACCCTTTGTCAAAATCCCAGATCTGTAAAAGCTTTGAAAATTATTCATATCAAAGTCTAAGAACGATATCAGGCACTTAGTTAAAAAATTTGCACTTCATTTTTATACTGTGGTTTTATGAGCCAAAAAGGTGCAAAACCCCCTAGGGTTTTATTCTTCTTTAAAATTATTTTATTTTAAATGAAGGTATTTACATCCATTTGCTTTAGGTTTTCTTTTGCTGTATTTTGATTTCTAATGAAGTAATACAGATAAGTAATTAAAAAGAAAAATGTGAAGATACAGTCAGTCTGTGTGATTTACAACATTTAATGGGTACATTGCAGTAACTTAATTAATTATCCCAGCCAACATGCATGAGATCATCAGGTAGGTTTCTCTGTTCTTACTGATCTGGAGAGACCACAGAGGGACAAAGGAGGTACCTTGTTGCCTGTACTCTTATTAAAGGTAGTATAATTATGATTGCTTCTTACTCTGTTTAAATAACGGCAGTTAATTTGTTAAGAGAAGTAAAGTGATTTTCAATGACTCACAAATATGAATATATTACAAGTATTGCCTTAAGTCCGAGCAGACATACGGTAATAAAGCCAGGATAATTAATTAAATTTTAGTGCATTACAGTTCCCTGACAGAGAAACCTGGAGACACCTTTGTCTGACACTGGGGGGCATTAAGGGGGATTTGACTTTATGTATGTTACAATTCTAGTATATAACACAGTAATTCTGTAATGAGTCCTTATACATCATTTCATATGTCATTAGCTGAAAATGCTGTGTGGATTCATATTGTTTATTCCATATAATATTCTTTCAGCTGCATTCATTTTAAAACTTTCTGTTTATTTTTCTCCACAGGCCTTTGGTTTATCTGGGTCTCAAAATATTTGCTCGCTTTGGAATCTGTGAATTCCTAAACTGTTCAGAATCCACCCTGAGGTCATGGTTACAAGTTATTGAGGCTAACTACCATTCCTCCAACTCCTACCATAATTCTACCCATTCAGCAGATGTATTACATGCTACTGCTTACTTCTTGTCTAAAGAAAGAGTAAAGGTGAGTCCACATTTATGAGAAACAGTGTTGGTGCAATCAAAGAAGGATCTCTCAGAAACAGATTCAAAAGCCAAATGTCTGCCCAGTGCCAACCAGTTTGGTAACTCTGAGGTCAAAGAACTGGGCTGCTTTACATGAATTCTAGGTTCTCTCTTATATGTAGAAGGATGGATGCTAATATCACAGAATTGAACAATTCTTGATGGGAGAATAAGAAAACCTTATTTTCAAGTAAAACTTCTTCATATAGTTAAACCTTCTCAGATCGAAATGACATAATTACTTTTGTGATGGTACATGCCTAATACAGATTTAATGTGATAAATTACCATCCCTCATGCCTTGTGATGGTCATTTTGCAAAAGACTCCCAAGACAATATAGGCCATAAAGTAGGCTATATCACCCACTGGAGAAGATGCCCTGAGGTTTATAGAGACTGCATTGGAGGAGAGTATTGAAAAAAATTACTGGTCAGTACCATAACACCCCCTGGGGTATTAGAGCCACTGACAATCAGAATATATGAGAGCAACTTTTGCTCTCACATGCCCTGACTGGAGAAGGGGAATAAAGCAGCACATGGTGTGTGTGCAGTAGAGTGGTAGGACATACTTCTGAGTCATGGTCTTGGGTAGGAATTCTGAACTGGCCTACCTAAGGATAGCACCAGTGATGGGCACCTGGCTGAGAAATTTGTGACTGTAAACAAGCTTCTGACAGCTCATTAAACTGTAGTAATTAATTTAACTTGGAGCTGCAGCTCATTAGTGTGCTGTCCAGAGGTTGATTTACAAATACTATATGCCAAGTGGGGATAGAATGTCACTGGATTTTTTCAGCCCCTGATTTGCCGGAGGTTTAGGTGGTCTTCTCAAGAATATCCATGAAAAAACAGAAGATCTGGATCCATTTCAGTGCCACAGAAGCATGACTGTCTTCTCCTTTTCCAGAATGTTATTTCCATTCCTCTGTAGGCATAGGAAGAGAAAAAAATGTTGCAGCAGCAGAAGGAGCAGAATCAAAGTTCAGAATTATCTCTTTATCTTTTCAAAGTTGTAGCCCAGCTGCTTTTGTGTTGCCCAGAGTTCAAGTTAATCTAAAGACAGAAAGCCCAATTCTGCCACTGAAATTCATGCTGAGAATATTTTTTTTTTGTAATTTGAACTCAGTTCAACTTGACTAGGAAAATGTTCTGGCTTCTAAATTAAAGCCATATTGTCAGAATCGTTTCCACTTCTGTGCCATGGGAGTTAAGATAACAAAGTTAGAATCCTTGATTTGATGTTGGGTGTAAAAGTGCTGTAAATCCCTGTGAAGTAAGTCAGGTAGACTGCTGTGGTCCTCCAGGTCAGGTACTCTCATGTTTCTGGCCATTTCCTATCTGCACAGATCTTTCTCAGCCAGACTGAATGCTGGGCATTGTGTCCCTCTGAGGAGAGCCTGTTCTCAAATCCCTCTCTCCTAACTTCATACTACAAAAACAGAATCCCATGAGCAGTGCTGAAAGAAAGAAGGAAGAAGCTAACACAGCAGAGAGTATTTCAGATAATGCTAACTATGAACTGGATAGATATGAACTTTTCTAGAGCAGAAATAATTATTTGCCTTCTCTTGTTCTCCATGAGACTCTCTTGACAGTCCTCAAAGAATAATTTCCCTGCTCCTGCAAAGTCAAGTCACTGCGTAATTTCAGGAGGTGTAAAGAAGGGTAGGGTTTCTCTTTTCACCTACCAAGTGTAGCTAGTCTGAATTGTAGTAGAGGGCCCATAGAGAATTTGGATCTCAAACTAAAGCAAATTGTAATGAAAATTATCTGCCCTGCTCCCAGATTTAAATGGGAATATTTCTGCTCTTGTGTCTCTTTCATTTTATTAAAATTTTTAATATAATTTTTTTGTATCTGTGATCCTTCACAAATGCCAGTATAAACAGCACAAAGGCTAGTTTTCAAATTTATACAAAATATTTCTGAGATGCTTAGTTCTTCTCCTTTATGCTATTAGTAAATTAACACTTAAGTGGAAAATCTTAAGAGTCAAATAGTTTTGTATTTCATGACAGGGTAGATAAAAATAGACATAATGGAATGCCCATAAAGCATGGAATGCAGCTTGTTACCAGAATCAGAATGTGATACAGAAAGTACAGAACATGTATCAGGTAATTTATCCATGGATGCAAAACATCAAATATTCTCCATAGAATACACATTAGCTGTAGCCTCAGGACAGGACACTGTTATTAAAGAACTGGATGTATGGATAACATGCCTTTCAAATTTTAAATCTAGTTAGCATGTAAGTGGAACATGATTAGGACACATTAAATTGCCTAAGGAAATTAAGGGGTCTGGTGGTAATAGAATAATTTTTAGCAGCATTGGTCTTTTTTCCAAGCCAAGTACATTAACTCCAAGTGCAGGTGGTTTAAGGTTGCTGGAAAACACAGACTAATTTATTACTTTACATTTGTTTAATTTGATGTGCTGTGACAAAGGTGTGGTTAAGGCAAAATTTGAGAGGTACAAAATGGCCAAAAAAGTCACGCAATGTTCAGTGAAGCCTGTAATGAATTTTCCATTGCTCTGTGTAGAACATCTGACCCTTACTGATCTCCAGAGTTTTGGCTTTTATTCCTCAGCAACTTGGCTTAATCTTATGGACAGAATAGGGTTTCTAATGAGTCTGCCAGGAAAACTAAGCACCCTTCTATTTTCAGCAAACTCTGGATCCGATTGATGAGGTTGCCGCGCTCATTGCTGCCACAGTCCACGATGTGGATCACCCAGGTAGAACAAATTCTTTCCTGTGCAATGCTGGCAGCGAGCTCGCGATTCTCTACAACGACACGGCCGTGCTGGAGAGCCATCATGCTGCCCTGGCGTTCCAGCTCACCACCCGGGATGGCAAATGCAATATATTTAAAAACATGGAGAGGTAAGCTTAACCCCCAGGCTCCTTGTCTGCCCACTAACATCTCTCACTTCCTTCTGTGTAACATAAAGCAAACAAGCATCCTAGAGGAGGGCAGTGCCTGGTGGATAACTGTTCATGGCCTTTGTGAAATTTGCTTCTAAAAGAGTAGAATGTTTCTGTCTCTCCTGCAAAGACTTCTGAGTAATTCCCCACTGCCAATTTCTCCTGTCCATTAAAAGGCAGCCCTTATCTAATGAATTTAGTGTAAATCTTAATGTGAGCAAGCCTGGAAGAGTTATTTGGTGTCACTGAATGTAGAGAACAAGCTATGGCTGGGTGAGTAGAGAACAAGGAGAGATAGAGCCACAGAGTATCAGTTAAAAATAAAATACCTTGTTGCAGTGTGAAGGATAATGAAGGACCTGTTGCTCTTGCAGCCTCAGAGAAGCATTTAGGGCAAGGATGTGGCCATTGCCTTGGTTCTCTCAAGATGCAGCAGGAAAATATTGCTGAAAACTTGACTGGAGAGTGAGCCACTGCTGAGTGTCTGTGCTAGAAGCCCTGGGAATATGTGGGTGTGGCATGTCCTGGCAGCCTCCTAAGCAACTGGTGCCTCTGCTTCTGCCCAGCTAGAGATCCAGTCATGCCTGGAGCACATACGTCTCTACACACCAAAAGTACTCCATCTAACAGAGATGCAGCTGCCCAAGCCTTTAGTACTGTTCTTTCTTCCCCTAGCACCTCTCTCAAACAGGAATGGTCTGTTGCATTTTTGTTAGACTTGTTTTAGCAACCAGCCCTTTGTGACCCAGCCAGCATTCTTAATTGTTTCCTTCTTTAAACAGGAATGAATATCGAACCCTTCGCCAAGTCATTATTGACATGGTCTTAGCAACAGAAATGACAAAGCACTTTGAGCATGTCAACAAGTTTGTCAACAGCATTAATAAACCTTTGGCAGCGCTAGAAGAAAATGGGGTAAGCAACACTGCAAGTCCTCCTTAAAATGCCTAGGCAGGGCCTGGGAACCCTTGTCAGTAGGAAATTCTCACGTGGTGTTCTGAGAAAGTTTATCAGAAATGTGGAGAAAGAGAGGCTGGAGATTTATTTTTCACCTATGGGTCTGAATCCCCTTCTGCTTAACGTGGTTGTCACTCATTTTGAGGGTGAGTGGGACTTACTTGGATCCTATTAATGTCACAGTGCTATGATGCTATAGTTGGAACCAGGGCCTTGGGCTGTATGTTTTAATGTAAAAATGCCATTTTGATTAACCCAGTCACTCCCACTGACAGAGTGGCAAGACTGGGCATTGTTGTTGGCCATTTCTTCAAAGGAAACAGGATTTGCTTCAAAGCAGAGGCTGAATTACATCCCTTCTGAGGGGACACGCTGGGGGTGCAGCATAAGGGCAGGTCTGTGGGCTGCCATGTGGTGCATCCTCTGGGATTAAGGGCCCTCAGCCTCCAGTGCTGCCTGGCAGCATTTGTGGGGTTTCTGTCTGCTTTATTTTTAATCTTTAAAATAGATGATGGTGACATTATGTATCATATAGACATAATCAATAGCCATCTGGAACCCCATGGACACAAAGAAATTGCCCGTTAAGAACTCTTTCTGAAAAACCACACCAGTTTCAATAACAGCTTCAACCAGCAGTTTTGTTGCCAGTAAGAGAAGTGTATAATTTTGTTGGAATGATTTTTGCAAAGAGAATACTTGCAGAAATGGTTATGATAAAGTTTGCGTTGGTGGCAACGTCATGTAGGAGCCGTAATGGTTTGCTGTATTTTTTTACCATGTTTTTTAGAAAGCCACATTTATGACTGTTGCATGTAATGGGGGAAGGCAGGTTTTTTATTATGTGAAAGTGGGAGAGAAACAGGTCTTGCTCCTTCACCCATGAGAAGCAGGCTGGATCTTAATTGGAGAATTGTACCTTTGTCCACAGGAGTGTAGGCTAGAATTAGCTTTGTTCTTGGCAGCCGGTGGTGCTAATGGGAACTCTGTGAATGTGAAGCCAAAGTCCCAGTAGGACACTGGTTGTACTGAATAAATTAGAAGAAGGGATGTTAAATTCCCAGCTGGACAGCCTCTCTGGATGAGCATAGCAGCACTGGTGCAGGACAACAAGGGAGTTGTTACTGCTGAGTGTAGTGCACTGCACTGGCCCTGTGGAGTGTGTAACTCTGTAGTGCTCCTGGATCTGCTGAAGGGCTCTGCAATGGCCTGGCTTGGTCTGCAGAGCCCCTCCTCCCAGCCCCAGGAGTTGGGATGCAGAAGTTGTTTGACCAGCAGAATCCATCCTAAGAGCTAAACTCCTCTTCTTGCCTGTCACAGAGAGCTGAACAGCTGGTGCTGCTAAAGAACAAGGCTTGGACCTGTACAATCAGAGAGTAAAAACACAAATAGGGATATAGAAAAATGAAACAAAAGTTTAGTTCTACCCTTAAACCCCAGAGACTGCAGGGAAATTACCTGCTGCACAAGGCATTTGCAATTCACAGCAAATTGTGCCCAAGGATGGGAAGAAAGACAAAGAATAGGTAATTTCTATTGAAAACAAGAAACAAAATGTTTCCCTTCTTTCAGCTGGGTGTTTCAGTTTGGCAAGTTCCTATTAAAAGGTCTGTAATGTGTGAGTGGGTAAAGCAAATTATTTACTGTGCTGAGCAGAACAACAGTGTCAGCCCCTCTTTCAAGTCTGTTGTCCCTCTGGCTGCAGCAGCAGTGTGTGTTTTCAGCCATGGTGGTGACTCAGTGTAGTGTTTGCAGGCTGAGCTGCCAACCGCCTGTTCCAAATGGGACTGCTCCACTTCTTTTTTTTAATTTATTATTTTTATACAAATTTGTTCAAAGAGCCATGCTAAGAAGCTGCTCTGTTTGTTTTCTTTCTGCTTTTGTTTCATAAACTGAAAAAAATTCTTTCCAGCTCCAGCATCCTTTATCCTCCCATTTCCCCTCATGATGTCACCTAAGCTATGACAGGAAGCCAACATCTGCCATGCAGAGACACCTCTGCACTCTGAGCAGGATGCTGGCACTAAGCAGAGTAACACATTTTATTCCCAAGACATCTGCATCCAGCAAGTAGAGCTGTGCATTTGGTTTGAACAGATCCCAGAGGTGAACATCCTTTCTTGATTCCTGATGGTTTACCTACTAGGATATTCTCTACTACCCATAACTGAACAATCTCTAATTTTCCATACCTAATTTCCATACTTGTGTTTCTGGAGCTTTCATCACTTTATGTTGGCTTTCTCATATATAATTTTTCCATGCATTTGGAGGTGTATACATCTCACTTGGGTTCTTCTGTTTTCCCTTCCACATACCTAAAAATGAGGGAAAAGAATTGGTTTGGGCATCTCATCTTGGTGAGAACTGTGGAGCTGGTATTTCTGAGCCATTTCTATACAATCAAATAATTTTTTACTACTGTCAGTTTCTTCCTTTAGGAAGAACTTTTTTCCCCGCAAAAATTTTCTTCTGAAAAATGTCATGGTTATTCTGACCTAATAAAAGGTCAGAATGTTTCTGCTGCTTTGTGTCTCCCTCTTTGTACAGAACAGTGCAGGAACTGGTAGCACATTATTATTATCATTATTGTTCGCTACTTCTTCGCTGCTCTGACTGTAGAGCAAGACCCTGTTAGGTGCCAGAGAAATCTTGTATTTTCCTTGCTTCAAAGAGTTTCTATTCTGAGTACACAGAGTTGTAAACTCCTGTACCTATCCATCCTTAAAGAGTCCAGCAACAAGGGAAGAGAATGAGGAACATGCCTGGGAGGCACTGTGGGATCTGACTCTCTGAATAGCAGCAATGTTGTCAGAATGATTGATACACTGATGGGTTTGTGTGCCAAGGGTGATTCTTGCATCTTGGGTCAGTCCCTCTTTTCAAACCAACTATTCCACTCTTAATGTGCAAGTCCATTAATCCTTGGGTTTCAGCAGAGAGTCACATTTTTCTGCCTACACGGTCCTCATCACTGTGTGTGTTGTGATGAGCTGATCCTCTCCACACTTTTGAGAAGGCAGATAAGGAATAGAGGGATTAGATGACTTGCCCAAAGATGCCCAAGAGATCTGTCACAAAGACAGTGACTGAATCCAGAAACTGGAGTTCAGTGCTAGCTCAGAGCTGCGACTAACTTTCATTATCCACCTATAAATTCAGTTAGACATCAAATCTGGTAGCCAGTAGCAGGACTGATCCCTGTAGGATGTGCTGAAAGCATTCCCAAAGCACAACAGCTTTTGAGTTAGTGCATGCAGACCTTGCTAATGGATTGTTTTTAATTCTTAAATGTTACAGAATAATGGTGATGGAGAATCAATCAAGACCGTTCTCAGGTCTCCTGAAAACCGTATCCTTATCAAACGCATGTTGATAAAGTGTGCTGACATTTCCAATCCATGCAGACCCAGAGAACAGTGTATAGAATGGGCCGGACGCATCTCTGAGGAGTACTTTGCACAGGTAAGGCAGTTAAAACAGCCTGCTGAAACTTCAGGTGAGCATTTCTTTAAAAGGGAGGAGAAGGGTGCCAGTGTCACAGAACATCTCAGGCTGCATTATGTAATGTGAAAAAAAAATAACTTTTTTATTTTAAATGGTGGCTATTACTCATGCTGACACACTACTAGGTACTTTCAGAGAGATGAAAGTTGACAACTTTTATTGTGCAGTTTCTGAAAAACTTAAGCTTTCAAGTTGTTCAGTTTGGAACTGGGCTTTTTGAGCCTTGTCTGCAAATGCACTCCCATAACATGAGACACAGCAAGGATACCCTCTGTACCCACATGCTGGGAATAGGATCATCAGGTTCTAGTGTTTGGATGTGAGCAGCACTCACTCCAAGATGTGCTGTAAGACTTTAGTACCCTGTGCTGAGGAAAGGTTTTAGGAAGATGTGGGAAAGGAGAGGGCAGTTGTTATTACAGATGATAGACCAAACACTGCATTTGGAATTTGGCACCCCAAGCAAGGGGCAAGCGAATAAAAAAGGTACTTTGCCATGTCTGAGTGGGACAGATTACAGCTTCCATCAGAGATTGAAAATGGTTCAGCAGTCTTAGGTCTAAAGCAGTCATAACTTGGTAACATGTGAAGTTACTTAGGGTCAGCTTGTGTGCAGATACAGAAGGTAAATACATCCCTTTGTGGGAAACACTGGAAGGCACTATTTATCTGCTGTTTTGCTGAAACTGAACAACTAGGTGCTTAAGACTAAGTTGCTGCTGCTTCAGATTTGTTCAGGTTCCTCCTTTGATTTAGCAGATGGATGCTCTAGTCAGTGTCAAACAATCTGCTGCTGAGAGAAGCCCATTAACAGAATGTGTCTTAGATGAATAATTACTAATGTTTTTTGCAGACTGATGAAGAAAGGAGGCAAGGTTTACCTGTTGTGATGCCAGTTTTTGACAGAAATACTTGCAGCATCCCCAAATCCCAACTATCATTCATTGATTACTTCATTATTGATATGTTTGATGCCTGGGATGGTAAGCAAAACTCTGCCATTTCCTGATGTGAACATTTTGTGAACATTTGAAACTGCTGTGATACAGAATTTCTTTTTTATGGCTCCTAAATAAAGGGGGAGAAAAGGGAAGATTCCTGCAGTTCAAGTAATATTAATAACTTCATTATTGCTTATAAGTATTGCTACAAGCGATTCTCATGGCTTGTCTTTAATATACTAGATTCAGGCAATCTTTAACTTTTTAAACTTGCTTCTCTGTAAATGGAGAACAGAGCACATTCTCTTTGATAGCTCTTTGAGCATGGTCATTTTGTCCATGTTAATACTGGTTGTTCTTCAAGGCAAATTTCTACAGTCTGGAAACTGCTTGGGGGAGCGGCTGTTTCCTTCCAAGTGCTGCCTCCGTGGTAAAAGTGGTCAGAAATGTGACTCTCCTGAATGCCACATCATGACATGTGACTGAGGTTTGATGGGGCAGGATAATTACAACCATAATTAGCTATGCCCCTCCTGGAAAATTGTGTCCCTTTGCTGGGAGCTGCAACACCAGTATTATGTAAATTTACAGAACAGTTCTCAGTGGCCCGAGTGCTACATGAGTGCTGAGAGTTGTACAGCCCCAACTATTTCGAGCATCGGTATGACAGATTCAAGCTTTTCTGCTTAACCCAGTTGCCATTTCAAGTGATACTTAAACAGGCAGAATCTGTGACTGTTTCAGTTCTGCAAACTCAATACACTCTGCCCTTTCTTCCCTAGCATTTGCAGACCTGCCAAATCTGATGGAGCATCTGAATAATAACATTAAATACTGGAAAGGACTGGATGGAAGGAACCTGCGAGTCCTTCGGCCACCACCAGAATAGCAGTTAGACCATGGTGTGTCATTCACTAGCCAGATGCATATTTATTCAAGTTCACTTCTATCTGTGTGAATTCAGATTTGTTTTGGCCTCTTCAGTATTACAGTAAAGCTAGCCCATGCACTTGGGGAACTTTCACATTCAAGAGAACATGAGGTCAGCAGTTGACTTCCACAAAGTACCATGTGTGGACTCGGATGAAATAAGCCCACCAAGTGGAATTACACTGGATTTCTGCAGTACTTGTACTGAAGAGGGTTTATTGTGATCATACTTCTGCGATATCTTCATACCAGCATGTGAAGCTGGAAGACCTTGGAGAGAATCCTCATAAAAAGGACATTCACTAGAAGTTTATCTATTAATAGAGACTCACAGCTTTTATGAGAAAGCTACATGCTTTTTATAAGCACTTAAGACAGTTATGTAGAACAATCAGACATTTAAAATGAATGAAACTGTCTATGAAAGAATTTTTGATCTATGAAAAATAGATGTACTGTATTTTTTCACATCACAGAAGGTGCAATCATTCACTTCTGAGCACTACTGAAAGTGAGTTCTCCTTAAGAAATTTAGTAGCAAATGTAAAAAATAACACAAGAATTTTTGAGGTTGATCGTTAGCATCTATGATTAAAATGTTATGTTTTATTTATTTTGTTAGATGTTCAATATTTTCTATGAATTTATAAATACTTAAAAGCCAAAGCCAACTTTAGATGCATTATAAATTTACATGATTCATACTCATTAATATACATTTAATTGATGTACAGACCTTTTATTTTCATAATGCAAATACAAAATACTATACAATGATACATTTTTATTGCACTGTAAGGATAGATGTGTATGTTTAAATATTGTCGGATTTATGTTAATTAAAATAAGGTTTATTAAAAAGGTCTCACTTGAGAGTAGTAGAATAAACAAGAACTGTATACTGTCTGAGCACCAGAACTGCAGTAGTTCTCCCACAAACCAGTGAGGACCACCTGATCTTCTCTTGGCTGAAAAATAATAATGTGTTGGAACTCTTTGTTTTCTCCCATGACATTTTATGACTGAATTCCCTGTTAAAGTCTGCCTTATTTTATATAGTATTTCTACAAAGCATTCCACAGCATATATGAAGAGGTGATACTAAGCATCTAATGAATTTCAACATTTTATAGCCAATGTATTTTCCTCTGCCATAAAAGAAAAAGAACCTAAAGCCACCAACAAAAACCTTTAACTCAAGAAGTTTGTAAAGGCTGTGTACCTTCACAATTTGAATGAAACCTTCATAGCAACTACCAGAAAATAATAAAATGTATATTTTAAGAAGTGTCATGTCCTACACATTTCATTTGGAAAGTATATGCACTTTGTAGTTTGTAGACTAACAAACACAGGAAATTCTTAACTAAGATACTTTTTGTCTGGGGAAGGGAAAAGTTGAGGGGGTTGAACTGGCATGAGGGTGATGAAAGGTGGTGTGTAGCTGGCAAGCCCCTGTGTTTGTGGCCTACCCTTGGCAAGCCCATGAGACCCTTGTGTGCCCTTGGACAAGTCTCTTCACAGCTACACGCCGTGTCATGCTGTGTTCCACTGAAGGACTCGAGCAGTGTCCTGTCAGCTTTCCCAGTCGACAGAAAGGCATCCAGAGGCACTGAAAGAGTTGCTGACTGTCATTACTGCAGAGGCAATGGACTTTAGAGACATTTTGAATCATTCCTGAAGAAGCAGATGCTGGAGAGAGGTGGATGATAGAGCAGTTCACGGACTGCAGCAGTGGCAGCCTTAAGGTAAGAAAGGAAGAACTGACCTCTCCAGGTGTTACCTGCTTCTGTGTTTCTCCTTCCTCTCCAAACCAGTGAGACTGATGGGCTACCACCATTTGTTCCTGTTTGTGTCCTGCCTTTGTGCCCTTACTCTGCTTGTGTGGTCTCTTTATCTACTCAGAATTCAGTTATATGCTGTTGGGACAGGGAATTCCCTTCAGTTCATTGTTATGTGCATATTGCCTGAGCCAGGGGGCTCGGATCCCGTGAGGGGTGCCTAAACTGTGTCACTGTCTCACTGACAGTAGTACGACAGAAGTTTTTCTGGTCAGTATTCCAGAGGTTCTACAATCAATGCTGAAGCAGCAGATATATTTTCATTGAAGGCTCAATAAAACAAGTATCCTGCAATGAGAGGGAGAGTTGGCCAGCAGTTTTCCTGGCAATATTACATTGTATTTCCCTATGCTGCATCTATTGTACCAGCTGTAATTTGCTACCTGGTATTAATGTCTTCTGTTCCTTGCAGGCTCCTGTGTCTCCAGTAGAGGAAAACTGCATCACACCATCAGTATCTCCTCCACTTGTCTGCTGCAATGAGGATGGGAGAGGAAGTGTGGGTACCAGCATGTGGACCCAGAGACTTGTCTGCAGGTAAAAATCATGGAATCATTTAAACTGGAAAAGACCTCTAAGATTATGGAGCCCAACTATTCCTACAGCACTGCCAAATCCACCACTAAACCATGTCCTCACATGCTACGTCTACATATGTTTTAAATCCCCTCAGGGATGGTGACTCCACCACTGCCCTGGGCTTGACAACCATTGAAATGAAAAAAAATTTCCTAATATCCAATCTAAATTTCCCCTGGTGCAACTTGAGGCCATTTCCTCTTGTCCTATCACTTGTTTTTTGGGAGAGACTGATTCCCACCTGGCTACAGTGTCCTTTCAGGTAGTTCTAGACACTGAGAAGGTCTCCCCTGAACCTTCTGGCTCCCTCAGCTGCTTTTCACAAGACTTGTGCTCCAGGCCCTTCCCCAGCTCCACTGCCCTTCTCTGGACACACTCCAGCCCCTCACTGTCCTTCTTGTCCTGAGGGGCCCAGACTGGACACAGCACTCACGCTGTGGCCTCGCCAGTGCTGAGTACAGGGGGGTGGCCACTGCCCTGGCCCTGCTGGCCACGCTGTTCCTGACACTGGCCCGGTGCCATTGGCGTTCTTGGCACAGGCTGGCTCACGTTCAGCTGCTGCTGCCCAGCACCCCGGGCCCTTTTCTGCGGGCACTTTCCAGCCCCTGTGCCCCAGCCGGTAACGCTGTGTGGGGTTGTTGGGACCCCAGGGCAGCACCCGGCCCTTGGCCTTATTGAACTTTGTGCCGCTGGCATCATTCCATGGATCCAGCCTGTCCAGATCCCTCTGCAGAGCCCTCCTACCCTGCCGCAGAGCAGTACCCCCATCCAACTTGGTGTCACCTGCAAACTGATTGAGGGTGCATTTGATCCCCTCATACAGATCCTCAATAAAGATATTAAACAGAACTGCCCAGAAAAAATATTTCTTCATAAGCATAGTTCACATTCTGGGTTATATTAATATATGGTAAAAAGCAGTTAATTTCATCTGCTATAAAAATGCCTGATGCATCATCATTGAAAAGATGTGATCAATATGATTAATTCCCTGAAATTCACACTACGTCTTTATTTCTGTTACTTGGACTGTAGAACTGTGCTAATTAACCCTCTCTATAAGCCAGATTTATGTCCATATTGGTGTACAATAATTTAACTTAACATAAAACACTGATTTTCAGCCATTGCAGCTTTGCTCACTCTCCTGTCCATCTAAATTTGCCAAGGACAGATGATAATTAAAATCTGGAACCATGATGCCTGATCTGTACTTTGCTTCCACTGAGCTTCTCTCTCCAAGCCACACCTCTGAAGCCTTCTGTGCACTGTGAGCCTGTGCCTGTTCCATGGGGGTGATTCCAGGCTGCTGCCCATGCAGCATGAAGAGCCTCACCGTGGAGCAGTAATAGCTCTAACCTGATATCCACTGCTCCAGGATGCAGATTCTTTGGATCCCAAAGATCCAATGCTTCAGCCATTCCAAATTCCCTTCCTTTATTCTCCAAGATTACACAGCAATATCATATGCCCTGTGATCTGAACCCTTTCCAGCTTTTTGAATGGTCACTTAGTGATGGAACTTCCTGGGGACAGAAATGGCTTTACTGACGGTCCTTCACCATGGAAGGGAGAACACTGAAATAAACTGAGTGTGACTGAAGCGTTCCAAATTTCAGTTAGGCTGGCAGTCTTATGCAATGTCTGCACTTTTCATTTGTTCTTGCTTTAATGCTAATACAAGAGTAAATTCCAATGTAGGCATCATGAGGGAGAGGTCCTTTATGCATCTCCAGGGCTTTACTATAAAGCTTTCTGTTTTAAAACTTAATAAGGTTCAACAATTCAGCATTAAATGACAGAATGAATGCCTCTGTTTTCCATGCTGCATATTTTCTATCAGGTAATCCTGCTTCTAAACCTGGGTATCACTGTAGGTGCTTCCGAGTGAATCTAAACTATTATGATCTGGTAAAAAAAACTGTTGGCTTCTCAGCAAATTGTCCTAGATTATTATCTTTTACCCTTGTGTAAAATTCAGAGTAATAATTGTTTATTCTGACAAAAGGAGAAACCAGACAGGTGGTATGCACAGCTACCTTACCACAGGTCTGAAGATGGTTTTCATACTGCAGTTTACCCAATGGCTATATACGAATTAAAAATCACCTGAAATTGAATGAATGCCTTGGTTTTTGTTGCAGTGCCTTTTGTGTGGGTGTTCCTGCTTGTCTCAGTAGAGAAATAATTGATAAAACATTTAAGAAAATGTGTATTGAACATGAAGGAATGAGCAATGGCAAAGCCATTCCTGCATAAAAGAGAAGAAAGTATAATAGATATCTAATAATCACTTGCTGGGTGCTGAGAAACAGCACAGGCAAAAACAATAGTCAGTTGTGCCCTTCAGTGACACCAGAAGGGTTTGTGTCATTACTCTGCATGGAGTGCTTTGAAATGAAGTCTCAGAGCTATTCACAGGCTTCAAAACAAATAATCTCTCTGCTGATGTGTGACATCATGCCTCCAAGGTACAGGGGTCCCAGGGGTGCTGTTAAATGATCACAGGATGGAGTGCAGTTTGTCCTGACATGATGTTTAGATGCAGAAAACAAGCTTTCAAATTGCTGCCATGTCCCTGTACAGCCTGTGCTGCTGGTTCAGAACAAAGGGGATGTCCAGATGTTTTTTGCTAAAGTTCTGGCTAGGTGGGAAAAGGGCTGTGGCTTATCTCCACTGAATGCTTTCTCTCAGTGCCTGCTTTTAATGTTACTTGGGCAAAGTGTCTCATGTTTTCCTTTCTTCCCCTTGTTTAACATCTTTAAGACTCTCCTCCCACACTTCCCATGCAAACCTCAGTGGACTCAGCTCTGCAAACCTTGTGAAGCAGCAGCAGTTGCCTCCTTAGCAAGCAAGGCAGCTGAGTTAGCAAAGGCCAGGGAACCCAGAGCCACTAAGCAAAGTAGCTTTGAGGCTTCTAAATAGCTTTGAAGTCTTGGACCTTCAAGCCCTACCTGTGGTTTAACAGTAAGTGTTAGGCCAGGAAACAATCTTCTGGTCTTCACATGTTCCCACTTTTTTCCTTCTCTTCCCTGCTCCCATTTTTCTTCTTAGCTCATTTGCTAGGATTCTGCTTTAATTTCCACTGGCTGAACATCTGCCTCAAACACACAGCTGTAATGCTGGGACTAAACCCTGCCTTTCAAACTGACTCTTGCTGCTTACTACAGCTTTTACCACAAGAAAATCTTTTTCTTTCTGACTCAAAGTGAGCCTGGAGAAATATCTTACAATTGCTGAAAGCCTTACATTGGTATCCACAAGCAGAAGAAGAATACAAACACAGTTAAGTGAAATAGCTTATAAGCACTGCAGTGCTGCCAGGGCAGGGGGAATATGTGTGCAAGGTCTTTGGTACTGTACTCCCACATGGAAAGTGAAGTTCAGGAGTGTTCCCAGGCACCTCTGCCTTTGAGGTTATGTTAGCAAGCACAAGCAGCTGGGAACACTTGTTGAAATTAGAATCTGCCTTTTCTTGGTTTGCTTGCTCCCCCCATCGAGTGGCAAGAGTAATTGCTAGAGCTGAAACTCAGTTCAGCCCATGGTAATTAACAGAAATCTTCTTATTATACAGGTAGTGAAATAGTGCACCAATGCATACGATTTTCAAGAAGAAGCGAGAAAGGTGATTCCTGTCTTTGAAACAAAAGAATAAATTTAGCCAGTGTGTAATTATTCAAGTTAGAAGTTGGTCCTGTCTGTATTTAATATTCCAGAGTGGTATTTGATGTAAGTCCTTCCCCAGAGTTCATTACATTAGCTCTTACCTCAACCTGAGCATGCTGAGCGCCAAGTTCAGCATGCAGCATGTTTTATCACCAAGGAGAATGACGTCAACCTGGTGATCTTGCAGCTCCCCAGCTCAGGGGAGGAGGTATGGCTTTGTCTTCAGCCTAAAGAGGAAATAGAATATGTTTGCTTGGTATTTGCAGTATAAAATGTGTGAGGAATATTTCTTTTTATCTCCAGCAAGAGCTGTCCCTTTTTGCCTAAAAAAAAAAAAAAGAAAAAAGTTACTTTGCTTGTAATATTATTCTACACAAAAAAGGAAGCTTGTCCTTTACAGATCTCTCAGCTTTACAAGCAGACACACATGGGTGAAACAAGCTGCAGGGGGCTTGTGGCCATCCACACCATGGCAAACCCTGGCCTGGTCCTGGGGCTGCCTGGCTGCTGCTGAGGGCTCTGGTGAGGATCCTGCTGACCGCCAAAACATGGGAAGAGAAATGTAGAAAGCAGGTGCTTTCATAAGGGTTTGTCTCTGGTGTTTTTCAGAGATACTGGTCAGAGCTCCTGAGATGCCAGTTTCGTCCTCCCACCTGTGTGCCGAGCTTGGTGAGACTCCCAGGAGAGCTGAATGCCATAGGCAGGCACCGTCCCAGCACCGTCCCCACGCTGGGTGGTGCCGGCTGTGCCAGACTCTGCTTACCGTAAGTGAGGCAGACTGCGAGGGTACAGCGAGAATGTGAGTGCTCAGGAACAGGCAAGGCGCCCAGCCACCACTCTGGGACTGGGCTGGGAACGGCGTGCTTGACATCAGCCATGGCTTCTGGGGTTCATGAGGGAGAAAGGCTCCAACTGCTCGAATACAGACAGTTTTCAGGACATTGTGAGAGCAGAGTGAAGTACTCCTCACCTGACAACCAAGCCCTAAAAGCGAGCAGCCTCTCCCAGTCCCTCAAAATCCACGCTGGCAGACTCAGTGCCAACATGCTGTCCCCTGTTATGACAGATCTCTAACAAGGCAAGGTCAAAAAGCACAAAGTTTTAGCTGCTCTATCGTGCCAGGAACAAAATAAACCCCAAAACACCAACCAACCAAAAACCACACCGAAACCCCAACAATGACAAAAAAAGCAAACAATCCAAAGCCTTGTTTTAAAATAAGCTGTTTTAAATAAATGAGTGTTCTTTGAACCACAGCAGAGTACGTACGTAACGATGTTTGTTAAGTAAATATCAGTGACATGTTTAAGTCTGGCTCAGTAGGTATTAGCAAAGTGATATTTGTGTTGGTTTTGTTGTAACAAGAATCAATCGTGTTTGTAGAAGGTGGTCTGAAAAAAGGGACTTTGGATTTGGGGTTTAGTTTCTTCCATCTGCCGACCAGTAGTTCTACTTTGGGACTTTTAAGTAAAAGTCCTTCCCAATGCATTGAATTTGGTGAAGTTATACTTACTTCCACTGGCTTAGTTCTGTTCATAATCTGCCTCATGAGTGTTACTTTTTACCCATGGATCCACTTCTTAGATAATTTTGTCTTTGAGAAGGAAATCTGTCCTAAGTCTGGTTGCAAATATACGGTCACATTATTAGAGTGCATACCTGAAATGCCACAGTGATGTAGCTGAGCAAAGTTCAGATCAACTTCCACCTCTTCTTCCATCACTCTGCACTTCTGCACCCTGAGTTTTGATTTACTTCTTGTGCTGCAAGCAGAGAGAGCCAGAGAGCCCCACACAGGCCTGCTCTCACTTCTTTGCCACTGTGCTGACACAGTCACGAGATATTTGCAACGTGCAAAACTCCACAGAAGGACTGAGACAGCACCACATGGCCCAAAAGCCAGTGTCTGCTTTTCCATTTGCAGCAAAACAAAACAAAAAAAACCACCAAATAAACCACCATCAGTTTCTAATTTAAACAGCTATTTATATAGGTGTTTATATTTTTTTTTATCCTTTGACCTTTTGGTTTCTCTTTTAAGAGCCAGATATGAAAGCTAAGGTTAGTGCAGAGAGGAACGCAAAGCAATGTAACAACAATGACGCTGAATTTTAAATTCTCCACCAGAAATAAAGTTGTTTTTTTTTCTGTTGGACAGGCTATGAGGAAGTTGGACTGATTCATAACTGTCCTTTCCTGTATGTTAATATAAGCTGTCTCTTTGGGCATGCTCAGAAATTTTGGGCTTAATAAATCTTCACTGTAAACTACATGCTTTCATGTATGGAAGGCAAAATGTTTATTTCATCAAGCATTTTATGACACAGACCATGAAATATATCTGACTCTCACTGCACAGGCACAATACATTGTTCTATTACAGCAGCCTGGCTGCAGCTTTCACATCAGCACAGGGGCACAAGGCAGGAGGTGTTGGGGTGGCCCCAGGCATCACCTGATGATTCACTTCCCAATATCAGAGAGGTAAGGAAGGTAAAGGAATTTTGTTTAGAGATTCAGAGAAAATTTGAGTGTATACAACCGGCTGTAAAATACCTCCAAGGCAAGGGAGCTACCATGCTACTTTTGGCCCAGCCCAGCCTGGATGAGGGCACCCGTGCGGTGACTTGGGAGCTGTGGAACACCCATCTCAGGGGTGAGAAATCGCAGCTTCGTCTGGCCCCAATCCTGCTGGTAAAGAACCAGGAGCTGCTGAGAGCTGGTGCCTCTCCCTCAGCCTTGCCAGGGCTGTGCTAGCAGCGAGGGTTATTCTCGTGCTTCAGTCTGCAGGATCAAGCCCGTATTAGGGGAAGGAATGGAGATGGACAAGCACAGCAGGTGTTGCACAGGATTGGCGGCTGCTGGAGGCAACAATTCAGCCGTGTGTGGATGGAGCCATCACTGGGGAAGCCGCTCCACGGCCCCGCCGAGGGCAGGCAGGGCTCAAGTGGATGCCGAGCGGGGTGAGCTCGGCTTGGTCCGTGATGTCTTGGGAAAAGGCTGCGGGAACAGAGCTCCCACGCCGGGGGCAGCTCCAGCTGTGTCTCCCCGCCTGGGGCGCTGTCCCGGCACAGAGAGGGAAGGAAGACGGGCAGGCAGGAAGGAAAGAAGGCAGGAAGGAAGCCAGGCAGGCAGCGCCCGCCCTCTGTCAGGGCGCCCCGGACCGAGGCCTGCCCGCCGCGGGAAATGGCGGCCTCGGGAGGGGGGCGCTTATGGCGGTGGGGCCGCGGTCCCGCTCCTCCCGCGGCGGGCTGGGGGGCCCGGGGGCGGCCGGCCGGTAGCGAGAGAGCGGCGGAGTTCGGGCACGGCAAGGCCCCGTCGCTGTGCGGCCGGAGCGGCTCCCGTGCGGTGGCGCCGAGGCCCGGCCTGCCCGCGGCTGTGCCCCGTGTCCCTGGCAGGAGCTGCCGCCGTGATGCGGTGCGAGCCCCGCGGGCATCGCCGGCGCGGAGCCCGTGAAGAGGCGCGCCCGGGGCCCAGGTAAGCGCTGCCCGCCGGGCCCGCTGCCGTCCGGGAGGGACTGCTCGTGGTGGTGGTTTTGTGAGCTAGGCCGGGACCCACTACTGCAGTCTTTCGGGGGCTGTTTAAGCCACAGCTTTGCGTCTGGATTTTATTTAGGTTTTATTTGGCTCCAGCTGTGGGATGAGCACCCTTTTGGCAGAGGGCGCGGTCCCTTACAGCCATTTTGTGAAGCAGTTTAGGTGTCAGTATCGCTTCCATCGGAGCAAGTAAAGCTTAAAAAAATGAGCCTGTTTGGAAAAGGTTTAAGTAAGTTGGGCTAGGACAGCGGAGTCCCAGTATATATTGGCAACTGAGCACACCACCATAAACGTGATGGAGAGAAAATTCAATAAAAAGGCAGTGTTGTGTTTTGGATTGGCTCAGGACTGCAATAAAGTCTGAACAGGAAGCAAAGCCTCACCTTTGCATGGTCCCTGGTTGCTTTGCTGTGTGCTGCTAATGAGTGATATTGGTTACTGGCGGCAAACAGAGGTGGGCAGTAAAAAGATTCAACTCAGTTCAAAGACAGGAGCAGGGAATTGCCTTCCTGGCTGAGTGCCTAGGCTCTGCAGTCTACTTTAGGAGGGCTCAGTCAGTTCTGAAACTTTTCAGGAGTTTATTGTAGAGATTCATCCGGAGGACTAAGAAAGTGGAGCCAGTGGCACTATATTGACTCCATTGATACTATCCTCCTAAATTAAATGGTAGAAGAACAAGGCCTGCCTGTGAGATAAAAGTCAGGACCTACTTGATCTACCTACAATGTTTTAGTGGCAGTGATAGAGCAAGTTAAAAGTCATGTGTTTCTGTAGTAAAAGGTCAGATGTGTTTGTTTTAAATCTACATTAAACTATTTCAGCGCTATTGTATTTTCTCTTTTATCTGTGCGTTTGACATGTCTTACATGTGTAATTGCTCACAGGCCCTTTGTTCCCGGCTCCAGCACTGGGTGAGGAGGGACACTGGACATGCCTTCGATTACGGTAACAGGTTTGAAAACTGTTTTCAGCCTTAGAAACCTGTGTGAGACAAGTGTGGCCTTCTGAAAGGGCTTCACGTGATGCCCTCCAGTGGCAACAACGTGAATCTGAAATCGCAGGGAACTGGAAAAAGGGATCCTTCTGGCTCGCTTTGAAGGGGTTGGGCAGCCCTGGCAAAGTCCCCAGTTAGCTGCTGGGAGAGGCATGGTTGGGGCTGTCTTGTCCTTTGGCAGTTCCTGATGCTGCAAGTCCTGCAGGGATGCATGGATCACTGCTGCACATGAGGGCTGCCTGTGGGCTTCAGCTGGCCAAAACCAGAGCTTTACGCATGAGCTTCTGTCCTTTGCAGAGGATAGATTTTGCTGTGTGCTGGTAAATTCCCATAAGGAAAAGGAACAGGAAGAAAAAGACCCAGCAGGTACTAGGAAAAATACAGCTTGCAGCACATAATGTTAGAGACAAGGACAACTCATTTTTAACTGACTATTGCCCTACCACATGTTGTAGTTCAGCCAGAGTTCCTGTATACAGGCCAGACATAAGAACTGATTTTGCCTCATCTGAATTACCTTTCAATACAGAGAAATAGATCAGATCAACACCTCAACACAGTTCTCCAAGTTGAGTGCCATACCCAGAGTTCCAATAAACTAAATACACCTGGTGAATAAACTGAATACAGAGGCATGCAGGGCTGATATGAACTTACAGCTTAGTAGACCACTGCTGTGGAAGTAGTGGCCTTCCTGTAAAACATTTATATAGAGATTGTTTTGAGTAACAGCTGGTTCTGAGAAACACATGTTGTCAAGTTTTCTTTGCTGTATAAATGTTTGAGGAAAGCTTGGGCTAGTGCCAACAGGTGAAGCTTTTATTAAACAGAAACATACAAACTCATTTTCCTTACTGTTGTTAACCTAGAAGCCAATTACTGCATATTTGTTCTTTCTTTCAGATAGTTCTGTCACTGCTATAGCTGTCCTGTGCCATGCCTGGTTATGACCATGGGGTCATTCTCCTGAGCAGACTGCTCTGTACTCAGCCACCTGGCCAGCATTCTCCAGTAGATTCACCAAGCTGGCAGCATAACGACAGAGCTGTTTGGTACCTGCAGAGTTCCACTGCAAGGGTGTCTGAGCACCTGACTTTTGACTCAGAAAATCTGCCCTTGCACGGTCCAGCAAGAGGGTTCTGAAGTCCTGGGGATGTGCCAGTTCAGTTCACTGGTTGGAAAGTATTTTGCCAGGTTGCAGCTATGGCTTAAACACTTGAGGTGAAAGCTGGTGGTGGGGTGTGGAATCATGGGTTCACCAGCAGCCTTTGTGGATTAGAGGCTCTCTTTGGAGGTTCAGATGTCCTCATACCTCTGCTCTGATACCTGTGTGTTATACTCTTTCAGGAATCTACTTGGAAATAAGAGTAGGGCTCTCAGTTTTTGGCTGATAGGAATAAAACATGTTCCAGTGGGTATAAATTGGAGCCAAAGTCAAGGAGTACATTTTTAAGCAAAGAATGGTGCTTTCTTACCACTTCAATCCCCAGCACAGGAGCTGTACCCTAGAACTGCTGTTCCCTGGGATGGCCATGCCAGCAGCAGCAGGGCACACATGCCCACAAACTGTTCTGCTCACTGGCAGGTAAAGCAACTTAGTTTCTGGCCTGCTTACAGCAGGTCTTACAAAGTGACCAAAACAACTTTTTCTGCCCTGAAAATATCTTAATTCCTGGTAGGTTAAGAAATGACCCTGTGCTGGTATAGCTCAGTGTTGCTAAATGCATCTTCTGAGGCTTTTGAAACAGATACCCAAGAGCAGATGGTACTAATCACTGCTGTTGTAGTAGCATACTCAGCTCCTGTTTTTGTGGTTTCTAAAGGCCTGTTTTGGCAAGACTTTTTTTAAGCTATTTGGGAAAGAACATACAAGCTTTTGACACACAGTTCTATGTAAAATCTCTTTAGTTTTGCCAATGGCGTTTATTTATAGAGACCCTGCATATTGTAGAGGCCACTGCTTGTTCCTGGTGATTCCCTAGAATGGAGACTTGAACCAATGATTTTTGTAATGAATATGCAATAAATCTGTGGAAAAGCTTTTCTCTTAATGACTCTTGATTGAGTTCAGGTAGTTTTGACACCTATGGATGAGGCTGTTCAGAGCTGACCAAGCCTGCTTGACAGGCAGGGCCTGTCTTGATTGGTGTCTGGAAATGAAATCCAAACAAGGATCTCTCAACAGCAGAGAGTGTGCCAGAGTCCTTCCAGCCTCACTGGACACCCAAAGCTTCATGGGCACAGCACTGGAGTGGAATTGTTCAGTGCTGAAGGGGAGAACAGATCTGTGAGTGTGGAGGGAGGATACACCCAAGTGGATGTGAGCATAGCTAAAAGGAAGCAGCTAAAGGTGTTTTAGGTTTTCCTGTAAGGACAATCAAGTACTGCAAAAAGCCTGTCTTATCTTTTTTTCCCTGGGTGAATGAATGAGAAGCATTCTGTAAAAATGGCTTATATTTGAGACTGGAGTGCAGGCGTGGGTATTCCAGAAAGCTTCAGTGGGTATGTAGGCACTAACAGTTCACACACAGGGGTAGAATATTTGATTATCTTGTGTCACACACTCTGTGTAGCAACCAGAACACTGGATTGGGAGATCAGCTTCATGACTGGAGTGTTCTCGGCTCCACCAGCTGTACAGTGATTATGCCTTTTGCTATTTTTGTTTTCCTTTGAGTAGACTCAGGAGTAGAATTGACTGCTTTGGAACTGGGGAGTTCCCTTGGCTTCAGGTGGGTGTTGGGGGAGCCTGTGATCCAGCTGCCACTGCCATGTGGTAACAGCATCACCTCTGAGAAGGATGGTACCAGTTTCTAATGAGAATTCTGGGATGGATCTTGTGACCACAGTGGCTTTTTTCTAAGATCCTTCCCAAGAGGATGTGACCTAAGGGCTCAGGCTGGTTTGGGTCAGGTTTGCTTTGCTTTTACTAGAGGGAAACAGCTGGTTTATAGGGAGTATGCTGGAGCAGTTAATGCTGAAAGAGGGCATTGCTCAGGGCAGGTTACACATAGGTGTGGAAGCTGCAAAACACAAGTTATGGCAGGGCAGTCCATGGGGGTGTTGTAATTCCAGTATGTATCCTTAAGATACCAGGTGTTTCCAGTGCAAAGCAAGGGTGGACATAATGCTGGAAGTGTGAGTTGAATGTGTGAAGGTGCTGGGCAATATCTGCATTGAAAAATGACAGTCTGCAGTTCTCATAGTCCAGCAGGATGCCAATCCTTCTGGGGGGAATAGTAATTCTGATGTCAGGTGTCATCCCGCTGTGCAGGAATTCATACTTGTGCCTGCAGGCGAGAAAAACAAAAGAGCTGAAGGAACCCTGGCTGCTTTCAAAGGGAAGCACTTTGTGCACTCAGGTACCTAGGCTGCTCATGAGTGTCACAGGCAGTGATGTTAATGTACCAGTGTCCAGGGAAGAGCCAGCAGTGCAGCTGAGGCAAGAGGGGAGCTGGCATTTCTGCAGGCAGGTATGACATGATTCCATAGGTAGGACAGATCAAAACCAGTTGGGTATAGCTGGGTTTAGCCAGATACATAATTTCTGGATTACACAGATCTGTTACTCTGTCTTTCCACTGGGGTTTTGGTAATCTTTACAGCTAAATTCTGCAACTCTGATTTTATTCAGATTTGTTCCTGTAACTGCTTGTTTCAATATGACGACGTCTCACTTCAGTGAGACAGTGTACCACAGAGAGACCCTTCAGCTTTATTCACTAGCATCCTCTCAAAAGAACTGGGTGCTTTGAAGATACAAATCTGCAAAAAGACAAGTTCTGGAGCAATTAAATTGGGCAAAAGAACCCACTCCAAATGCTTCTGAAACACCCTAAAAAAGCGGGAGGATTTGCTTAAGTGTTCCGGTATCCTTCCAACACCAGTTTACGGTGACAGCAGTGGAATCTCAGAGACCCTGGTGCCAGGTCTGAGCTGATATAAAATCTCTGGTTTCTCTGCCCAGCCTGCAAGTTTAAGAGATGTTTCTGTCAGAGACCTGCAGCCTCCACAGCCCTTACCTTGAGGGCGTGATGATGTGCCTCATGCACCAGGATGAGTTGTTTGCCCCCAGGTGACCATGTCTCGGAGTATTCTCAAAGGCCACACCAGTTCTGTACTCTGTATCTTCCTCAACTTCCACCTCCCAGTAATGCTTTCCTGGAAATGGGATCAGACTGCCGAGGATTGCAATACATCTGTGGGAGACAGACAGGAATATGTGTTTTGGCAGGCCCTCTCTATAATGCTTTTTACACTGTTTAGATGTGTTCAGGTATGTATATACCTGCATAAACAAAAGCCACTTCTGCTGTCTCCTTAGCAGTGCAGTGTAGATTTTTGACTCCAGTGAAATCCCCACACTGTGGAGCTAACACCCAGCCTGCAGGTTTCTTTGTGACACCTACCCTGTTTTCACTTGTGGGTAGCTTTGTATAAACAAGTGCCCTGGGCACTTCCAGAAAGATGAACAGCATCCCATAGTGCCTGGGTTTTCTGGGAAAGTTAATGCTTGTTAGAAAAGAGAGCTGGTGAGCCTCAGCATAGCAGGGGGAAAAGTCTTCAGGTTTTGCATTTTCTTTCCAAACAGCCCAGGGTTTTGAACATCATTCACCATTAGGAACTGAGCTCTGTATCAGCACAAAGTTCCCGAGGCAGCTGGGAAGGAGGGAACCTGTCTACACTGTGTTTGGAGAGATTAGGAAGAATTGAACACAGTAGGAGAACTTGTAATATGTTGGGTTCCTGGGCCATGAAATGTACAATAGGAACCATGCAGAAAATAACTCTTTTGAAAGTTGTGTAGTAGAGATAGACAAAGACAATGTACTACAGGGAGACCCTTCAGCTTGATTTACTGGCACAGTCTTGGAGTCAAAGGAACTGGGTGCTTTGAAGATACAAGTCTGCAAAAACACAGGTTCTAAAGCAAGAAAATTGGGCAAAATAACCCACTCCAAATGCTTCTGAAACAGGAGTGCAACATGATTCCTGTAAGCTTACACCTCAGTTTTTCTCAGGAAAAGTACATGCTGTCACTTTCAAGGGGGACAGCAGGTTTCAAACACACACAACTTTTATGTTTCTGTGGTAGTGTCTGAAGTTGTAAGTTGCTAAGGAAAAGGATGTTGCTGGCAGACACTGAGCTCTCCTAGGCAATGCTGAGAGAGAGCTGCACTCATCATTTGGAGGGCCTGTTGTGTGAGGATGGGCATGCACAGCACAATAGCAGTGCTCTGCCTCTGCAGCTGCACTTGCTTAGAGCACGTGTACAGTTCATTGCAAGTGCATGTAAATGTCTTGGGAACAATTCAAAACCTGAACTGTGCTGAAGAAGCAGTTAGGAACTACATCAGCTGCACAAACTTCAGAAAGAAGAGTTTATCATGTAATTTCCTTGGGAGCTTTTAGGGTTTTGTTTGTTTGTTTGTTTGTTTTTTCTTTATTGTTGTTTTTTTTTTTTCTTTTTTCAGTATCTTGGTTTGAAGGAGACTTGTGAAAGTTCATAGTGGAACCAAAACCTCAGCCTTTGAACGAGAAGATGAGTTCCAGTTCTGGCTGTTTATGTGAAACATAAAAGCATCCTGCAGAAGTGGGATGAAATCCCATTTAAGATTACCATGATGGCTTTCAAGGAAAGGATCACCAGTCTCCCAACTCTTTTCTACCAAGCCCTCTAGTAGCACTGCATTTCCATGGAAGCAAAAATGTGGACTTGTATTATCCTGCATCTGCAGATGCCTGTCCTGGTTATATGGTGTTTCTGTGGTTTTGACTAGAAATAGGCATTTTGGCAAGCTTAGTCTCTCACTTCAATGGCAAAGGGCCTAATTCTTTTTGAAAGTAATACATGTTGGTCCAAACAGTATCAGTTACATCTGTCAGCAAGAGGTAGATTTCAGATCCTTCTCCTTTCCTTAGCATTTGTTATGGCACCTAAATACCTGTTCAAATTTAGCTCAGTGTGCCAGACATGTAAGTAGGCTTGTACATAATTGTGGCTGCTGCATCTGTAATCCTATTTAAGAACTTGCATTAATTTCCAAGTTCCAAAGAGCAGCTGGAGAGAGAGATTTCAACTCAAGAGAATAATCAGAGCTGCTGAAAGCCCCGTTAGACATTTCCTGGCATCTGTTAAAAGAACCAAAGAAACTGAAATGCCCCTTTATACCTTGTAAAGCTGTTATCATAGACAGGCAGATCACACTCTGGGTTTTCCAGTTCATCACATGAAATGGTAAATCCATCATCTAGAATTGCCAGTAAAGGATGGGCTGTGTCCTCATTAAGGTAGAAGCAGGTGCCTGCAAGAGAAAATGCCTGAGGATAACTCCACTAACTCCTTATAACATTAGAATTTCAGCAAGAGTGTGATGAATGTTATTTGGATCCACAAAAAGATTCACCAATGCTCTAGAAAGAATCTGTGGCTGACATTGAGAGGACAAGATCATATTTTTAAAGTTTTTCTAATAAATGGCTGTTTTACAGCTTAACACTGTTTAGTTTCAGCCTTGTGAAGAGCAGGGGACTTAACCTGGCTTTGAACCTTACCAGGGGTCAGAGCTGCAGGCATTGTGCAGGAAGTAGTTATTCAGCGATAAGGGGTCCTCCCTGCAATGGACTGTCTGGTTTCAAGTAATCTATTTTTAATCACTGAAATGAGAAGGGGGGCTTAAAGGACTCTCCATGGCCTCACTCATCCACATAAAGGCTGGACACAGTTTGAAGAGAAAGGATCCCTCATACTTCAACACCTCTCATCAGAGCAGCCCTCAGAGACGTAAGTCCAGCCCAGGATAAAAGTGCTTCTGCCTTTCTTCCTGCAGAGACTTCACAGAGCAGGTCTGACACATTGGGGCCTGAGGAGCAGCTGCTATTGGCACAGCTGCTGTTTGTAGCTGGTGCTTCTTTCTCCACCCCAGATAGGATCAAAGGCCATTCACCCACATTCAAGCTGTGTTCTTGCAGCCGACAGATCAGTTTGCATGAGGTGTTTCCATAATGTAGACTCAGAGAAGATAAATCTCCCCATGATA